CACACACACACACACACACACACACAGGTGTGCATGCCACTGTCTCCATCAGCCTGGCAGTCGGAAGCTGTGGGTGTGACAAACAGGTATTGAACACTGCACATTGATGCGTCCACATACAGCTCTGTTCATTGTCTCAGGTTAATAACTTAAGTCACTATTAAGAGGTGTTACAGACAACGTGGGCGAACCAGATGCCTCCCAAAGCCGGAAATATGGATGCTGCTGACATAATTCATGTGGAATAATTCATCTATGACTCAGCTTATTTGTTTTGTAACCCACACAATTGCCAAACACTTTCCTGTAATAGTCCTCTCAGGCTCCTAAACTGGAACACACCTGCCAGCAACAAGTCTGTGGACAGATGAGGCGAGTCATTGGCCAAAAACTGATCCCAAAGGACCAATCAGAGGACTGCAATGGTCCCCATCACTGTGCAGAAATGACATCATGTCATGACAACACTTAAGTAAAGGAGCATCTCCAGGAGACACATGGAAGCATGTAATTAAATCGAAGCTGGTTATAACTACACAGACTCGTCTGACACTGCATGACTCATACAGAGAGTCCACTGGGCCAAAGTGCTCCGGCTGCACTTTGTACAAAACCAAATCATGTAACATTTATCAAACCAGAAACTGACCTCAGTGTCAAAACAAACGTCCTGTCTGAGGCTAAAAGGTGAAAGCAGACATTTTCTCTCCCCTAACAGCAAATGCGGACAAAAAGGATCACATTCCATCAAGAAACATTTTAATTCTTTGCATTCATCCTGTGATATTCATGATCACAACATGGGACTCACTCTCTATAATATCACTTTACTCATGAAAAGATCTGAACCCTGATGTACAGTAGAATATAAAGTGACAGGAAGACAGGGCTTGACCAGGGCTTCAAGAAGTGCTATCACTGCAAACCAGTACTGCAAACAAACATTCCACAATATGGCACACAATATGAAAACCACAATTCTAAATATTAAAAGCAGTAAAAGCATTAAAAAAATATTCAATTATCTTAATAGAAGTAAAGAAAATACAATCGTGCAATACACTTCAAAAAAGCCCATCTGGACATTCACCGGTTCCTGCGCAGAAACATGTTTTAGCTTAGAGTTCGAAGAAAAGCTGGGAGAAAAACTCACACTGTACAGCATTAAATATCATAGGAACACTATTTAAACACTCATCAGGGTCAAATCTTGAGATTAAACTTCTTTTCTTACATTTACTGGTGCATCAAACAATTCATAGCAAACATACCCCATCAGGATGTGTAGTGTTTGAAGATGACACTATACATGCTTGCCATTATCTCTTCTTCCTCTTGAGGCCAGTCATCAGCAGCAGAAATGATAGCTCACTGCTGCCTCAGAGCTTATACGCAAACAGTCATAAAAAGTGCTTAACAAGTTTAGACTAAAATCAGTTCATCTTTTTCTGTGATGGGCAACATCATGCTGAGGGATCTTCTTTGTCTGTGTCCATCTCACACATGGACGTTTTTCAAACTGCTGTTTCTCTTAAGTCTTTAGATTCAGATTTAGCAGAACCAGGGAGTCCCTCTCCTGCTCCAGCTGGACCCGTCTTGTCCCCCGATTTCTCTCTGGGCTCTGCAGCGGGGGAGCTTGTTGCACCAGGCCCCTCTGGCTCCATGTTCGGCCCCTGGTCTGAGGGCAGCTGCAGGAACAGAGGCACCTGCAGCTGTGCTTTGGTCAGAAGGCCCCGCTGGTCATCAACCCTGCAGCACTGAGCTCTGGTCAGCATGTCCAGAAACCCTGATGCAGATGGAATATCAAATATCATCTCGACATTTATCTTCATCAGTCATATGTTGTAGATGAGAATATGTTGTACTCTCTTTATATATCAAGCTTTAAAAAGGAGAATTTCAGAAAGATAATGACCAGGTAAGAACAAAAACATCTGTCCTGGCTCTATACTAGGGTTGGGTAATATGGATAAAATCGATATACAAGATTAGGTTGCAATATTGTTTTAAGTATGTGATAGTATTTTTCCTGGAAATTCAGCTTCCTGAAATACATGACTTTTGATAAAAGAATCTGACAAAACAGTCCCACCACTTGGTCCATTAAGTAGATTATATAAGAAAAAACGATGGAACAAATTACTACCAAACTTGGTGGAAGAATGTGGGATGGGTCAAGAGAGAGAACACATTACATTTCGGTGTGGATTTGAAGCCAGAGATAGATTCAGGATTTGTTTTTCCCCCACGTTCTTTAACATTGCCTTTTTTGGTATTTGTCTCCATATTTTCTGTGATTTCTCAGAGAACAATTCATGCATCTTGATGAGGAAAAAAAAAATCAAACATATTTAAGGTACTGATATTTATGTGTGTGCAATTTGGTTAAGATCCAAATTAAAAACCCTGCTCTGGTGAATTTCTACGTACTTTCAAGGGCACTGTTGGGCCTTGACGGAGGTCTGCGCTCTAGTTATTCCATTCTGTTGTAATCCTATCTGCTGAAAAACATGTGATTGAAGCCTCCAGAGCTGCAGCTTTTTAATGCACTTTGTGGTGAGACTGCTTTGTAAATAAGAAAAAAGTTTGAACACAGTGTCCACTTCTTTAGTGTTGTAGGATCACTTTGTTTTCCAAGGTCAAGAAGACATTTCCAAGCTCAAATTGAAGATTTTTCAGCACATAGATTGAAATCTATATATTCAGTATAGTTATGAAAGCTTCATCGAGGGGTTGTCTTTCTTTTAATCATCTTACAATATGTGCTGCCATATTACCCAACCCTCCTTGTTACTGCTGAGGCCTCCTACCATCCATGTCGCGGTTCTTACTGGGCTTGGGCTGAGTCTTAGCTCGGTCTGTCGATGATCTGGCCTCCGCGCCAACTCCGCTCACTGCGCTTGCCTGCACGACCAGAACAGATTCCAGGATTGTCGACATATAGAATTACATTTCACAGGTTTTAAATCCAAGCAACCAAAAGGAATTCTACAAATCAAACAATGATTAAAAATAAAATTGGTGATGTCGAAGCCTTGAGCTTTGTCAAAAAACACTATAGTGCATTTTATATATTGCCAGCAATCATATTTAAATGTCTGAATTCAAAGAGTAACTTGAATGCTCGATGTAGTGCATAAAAAAAATCCCACAAGGGAACAAATAGTGTTAATATATACACAAATATATATATGCTGATGATACACCCTGCCAAAAATAACACAATACAATGTGCTGCATGAAATTGCTCCCCATTCTTTTTCTTATATAATAGATGAATAGGTTATTATCTATTTAACAGTCAAAATGAAGAAGTCAAAACATTGATGTGTTCTGGAAATTATGATCCATTTAAAATATAATGAGGGTTATTTTCCCTTCTTCACACAGCCTTCGTATTTAAATGATAACCTTAATTATATCTTTATCCAGATAATGATAATAACCAATGCATCTCAGCAGCCTCACCTGTGGGACTCCAGCAGAACCAGAGCCTCTGGAAGTGTTGCTCTGCTCTTTTCCTGTTCAGACCACACAAATACACAAAATGAGTTTGGTTTTTCCCAGTACAAAAACTCCTCAGTGGTCCTGTAATGATGGTATATTACATTTTACATTACATAGTACAGAACTTAAACACAGACATTAGCCAAATGAAATATTCTCCACTAGAATGTAACCGGTGCGGTGGATGTGAGGCGGGGAGCACTGATCCGAAGTGACGTCAGTTCTGGTCTCTCAGCGGTCGGGGAGATCAGGTGAGTAGACTTGAAGTGACACGGCGCTCAACAAACAAAATGGCCTTTGACATTTCAACCCACAGAGAAGAATGAAAAGACAAAAAAAGAAACCCACAAATACACGAAGAAATCAGAGCAGCAATAGAGGAACGTGCAGACAGTGACGCAGAGGAAAAGAAGAAAGAAAAACCCAGGGCAGTGAAGTGAACAGTGAAAGGAATTTCTCTTCCTCCCTGCCAAACACAGAGAAACACTTGAGTTCCTCTCATCACAGAGTATCCATTAAATGAATAGAAGGCACTCAGGGTTCAAGCGGTATTCAGAAGAGGTCACATAATGTATAATCCCCCAGGTCAGCCACATCAACTAAACTACCGTGGATTGAAAGATGGTATGTGCCTTTATTAGATTCTGTTGTCCTCATTTGCTCATTGGCCAGAGTTTCTTTTTATCCTCTGGCTGCCTCTGCTTTTAGGAGCAATGACGCAAAACATGACATTTGTTGTGGAAAAACGTTTGTTACGCAAAGAAAATCTAATTCACCGGAAATTTTGTGGAGGCGTGACCCAAGGAAAAACCTATAAAATTGGATTGCAGAATTTTTATCACTTTCTGTAACATTGTGGTTTTGAAAATGTTTGCTGATTTGTCAGAATGTTTTATGACCTTGATGAAAAACTAAAATCAGACATTTTGTGGACTGATTCATGAGTGCGTTCAATTTTGTTGCAGATCCAAATAAGAACCCAATCAGGGTCGGGGGAGAAAGCATTAAACCGTATCAGGATGAGCAGATTTGTTTGTTTGTTTTATTTTCCCAACAGTTTCACTAATTTACCTAAAGTAATTCATGGATCTTGATGGAAAAAAATCAATCTGGCACATGTGGAGATCTACTATCTATGAGTGTGTGAATTCTGGGGCAACTTGATTGAATTTAAGGGGGCTGTTGAGCCTTGGCGGACGTCTGTGCTCTCCTGAGTGATATTCTAGTTCTTTCTAGTTTATATCAAAGTAAAAAAGTTTATTTTTAAGTTGTCAAGAAGATTAACCTTTGCATTTGTCAAGTCGTAGCGTCTTATTGGCCAATCGGAACACAGAGCTGCTCAGGTTCACAGGCTCATCGCTTCCAACCTTAAAATGAAGAAGAAAATAGAGTTCAGTTGGACAGACACAAAATGAGATCAAGATCCAGCAAACACTAGATCACCTGATGGTGGCTACTCATTACTTATTCCAAAAACAAAATGGTGCTACACATTCCCCTTTCAGTGATATGATATAACCTGATACAAGTATTAACATGCCCTGTGACGTGTATTCTGTTGCCTGGTAACGGCTGCTGATGGGACAGACAGAACACATTTGTAAAAAGATCATAGTTCAAAAAATGTGATACATGGTAGTGAGTCATTGATGAATTCACTTCTGTGAAATATAAGGAGGTTGAAACATCCCACAACTTCACTAACAAGCTTGTATCATTGTGTCCATTCATGATCTTGAAGTTTAATAGACATTCACAAACACACTCACAATGGTGACTAGAGCCTCTTGTGGTTTGAGGTTGTGCTTCTGCATCACCACAGAGAGGGCGTCCTGCAGCGTCTTACTAGACTTCACCATGATCCCCACTGTCTTACCAGTGAAGACGATCTCCAGTCTGAAACACATTATCAAGTCATGCCAATCAGAGAAGTCAGAGAAATCCCCCACCCAATGTTATCTCAGTAAATGTAGGTGTAAATGTATATAATGCAAGTGACGACTAAAATCATTTTGAGCCAGCGAGCCAAACGTCTCTACGTCTGGTGTTAACACAGACTTCTCTCTAACATGGTGAGAAGCGACATGCTGTAGTGAGGGATGAGGGTGTGAAACCCAACGAGGCTCAGACAGAAAAAAAAAAAAAAGGAAGCAAAGTTAGTGACACATTTGACTCACGCAAACATCACCCTGAGCTCGAGGGAGACCTGCTGATCCCTCAGCACGGAGCAGTCCTGGTCCAGTGATAAGGGATGCTGCAGAGAGAGCACAGGTGTCACAGACAGAGATTACAGGAAGAGCATAGTCTATACCAGGACTCACCAACACGGTGCCCGCGGGCACCAGGTAGCCCCCAAGGACCACATGAGTAGCCCGCAGGCTTGTTTTAAAAATAACACAACTCACCAGTGAGCTGCGTCTGAAATTTAATATGCGTTTCTAATTAAATGTAATTATTAATTTTTTATACTGTCAAATTTTTATTCCCATATTGAAGTAGACTATTGACTATGATTTGTTAAAAGGGTTGGTCAGTGGCTCGTGGAAATTGAACATTTTTCTTATGAAATGTTGAAGTGATCATCTGAAAATTTAAACAATTGCTGAGATTAATAGAAATAAAGTGTTGAATATTGATATTATCTGTTTCCCACCTTGTCAAGTCATTGTTGATAATTATTGTGAGAAATCATTAACGTGATCAGTGTCTTCACATAGATGATCATTTATCATTAATAACAATATATAACTAAAGGCAAACTGAGCTAATTTGTTATTTCAGAAGAGTGTATCAAACTGGTAGCCCTTCGTATGACTCAGTACCCATGAAGTAGCTCTCAGTATCAAAAAGGTTGGTGACCCCTGGTCTATACTTTACAGTGTCGTACAGTAGATCTTTTTATTTCTTAAAGCTGTGACTGGCCGCTCACCTTGTCCTTCTCGTGAAGGTAGATGATGACATCTTTCAGTGGGAAGCCTCTCTTTTCACACAGGCTGGCCAGCATGTCTTTGATGGGTTGGCCGTTACGCGTGGGGGCCAGGGAGGCACTGCCATCGGGTAAGTAGACGCAGCAGTAACCCCCTTCCACCTCTATCCGACCCCCACCTCCCTGGTCTGGAGAGCGGGGACTTGATTTGCCGTTCTACAGATAGAGAAGAGAGGATGTATGTAGAGAGAGATAGACATTTACATATGTACATTCATGTGGGCCTCACTGTCTTTAACTGAAACCAGCTTCAGCTACAGTGCAAACCAAAAACCCTGTGTCACTGCCAATGCACTGACCTCCATCTGCCTGCAGAGGGAACCAAGCTCCACGCTGCTGGTTGACATGACCGACATATGGGATTCCTTCCGGGAACCTGCACCCTGGCTGTTGGATGCATCTATTGGAATTGATGGCAATAAAAAGAAGTCAGCATGGAATAAAGTCACAGGATGTAAATTGAGACCCGAACACAGAAGCACACTGTTCGTCATTCGACAGGAACTGTACCTCCCCAGGATCCTCCGTTTTGTCGCTGTTTCTCTGGGACACCCTTGCCCCCTGGCAAACTGTTAGAGTTTGACTTCCTGTTCTGTTTGAGACACAAGTTCTTTCAGTCTGATTATGAACAAATATGATTCTCTCCGCCCCCCCAGTCCATTTCCTCTTTATCCATCTACCTTTGTGTCACTGAACGAGGGGCTTTTCGTCGCCACGTCCTCCCAGGATCCCACGCGGAGCGGCTCATTGGAGAGCTGGGGAAGAAGTTTTCCTCCCACAGTTGCCAAGGTGCAGCTCTGGTACAGAGGAGAGCGCACGAATCGCCTGTAGCTGTCCATCTTCATCAGTTTAAATATCTGACGCAGAGCAGGGACAGTGGTACAAGTTGTCAGCAGAGGCACCAGCACTGTGTTAATGTGCTGAGAACGGACTCTAAACAGACCTGTGCTTGGGCCTTGTTAAACATGTCAGGTGCGGGCTGCTCCAGGTCCTTCTCCTCCGTCCTGGCGGTGTCATCGATGTTGACCGAGTAGGGAGCGCTGGCAGACAGGTAGGTGTTGTAGATGGAGCGAGCCTCTGTTTTCAGCTGGAAATGCAACAGTGTTCTCAGACCAAATCATCATCTTGATACCTAAACTTTGTTTGATGGTTGTTGTCTGAGTGAGTCATCAACAAAGATAAACCTCAGAGACACAGTGACACAGTTTCCCTTTCATACCTCCACTGAAAGTCATGCAATCAATAAGTAATTAAAATTGTATTTGTTTCTCAGAGAAATCACATCACAAAAGTTGCTGTAAGCTTTATAGGTTTCTCAGCTGCTACTTTTATTTGTCGTTGCAGAGGTTTATGTCAGCTTCATGTGTCAGTGAAGTCAACAGGAAATTAATCTGTTGTTGTAAATGCTACGCTTAACATCGTGAACATCAATGAATCACACAGTAAAGCTGCAGATCACTACATGGATTCATTTAGAGCAACATAGCAGCTAAGTTTACAGTCACTGAATATTCAACTTCTTGTCTACATTAAAAAAACAGGAAAGAATATTTATTTAAACAACGCAAATGGTTGCAAAAAGCGTTGTCATACCTCGTCCAAGCAAGTGGGTGGTATCTTCCTGAACTTTTCACAAGCCTTCCAGAATAAAATGTTTTCTGCACTCACTTCAGACCTCAAGAAGGCCTGTGGAGAAAAACACACTGCATGAACACACACCTATAGTGAGGGGTCGTTGGAAAGCTTGTTGAAAATCCCAGCCCTCGTACGTGTGTTGGCTGCAACTCACTGTAAAGTAACGGACACCGGAGGGGTCCTCTAGCAGCTTCTCAAACGAAACGGCCCAGCTCAGCACGCTGTTGGCGGGGCCAGCCTCTCCGCCCGGAGTCCCTGGGAGACTGGAGCTGCTGCCTCCACAGCTCCGTGCAGACATGTTCAGCTCTACAACACATCCAGACACAAACACACCCAGCTATCAGCACGGAGAAGCATGACAAAGAATGAAACAGAATCAGATATTTTCATCTGTCGTGCACAGACATGTTCAGATTGTAGAAATCTGACTACACGATTGCCATTGTGCACGTCGACAGTTCACACTTACCTCCGTCTGACACTGCCTGGCTCTGTAAAGAGAGATAAACAACACTTAAAACAAATGAAGACTTGAAAAAGAAATCTGATAAGACTGGAACAGGTTGTCATGGACGAGTGGTCTGTGGTGGAACTGGACAAACCGAACCCATAGTTCTCAAATAACTTTCCTCTCATTTCAAACAGTCACTTGACTATTGACTGAAAATCATAAAAACAGTAAATGTAAATTCATAATAATATATTCAATTCCTGATATCAAGTCAGTCACATGTATTCAAAGCACAGACGCTGGCATTAAGGAAGTGAAAAGTTAACACCAGCTGCATGTTTTTTTTCTACTTTTTGTTTCCCCCTCAACGTAAGAGTAGTTTAGCGCAATCAGCCTGGGCTGTTCTCACAGGAAGTGGTTGAGACACTGAAGAAAATAAGTCATTCAGCTTTCACAGCACATTACCACCCAGTAAGTTTCAACTCAAGCGCTTTTACATTTGAAACTGAATTCTGTAAAACTCTTTGAACAGTGTCTGTGGAGACAAACATGTTTGCATGTTACTCAGACACTGAAGAAACAAAATACAGATCTGTCCCCACAGGGACGGATTTCAGAAAATAAGATAAGCAGGTTAAGTGAATCTGTTTAAAATGTGTCTATACTTGTTTTTGTTACCTCGTCAGGACCCTGACCTGCATAAACACTGACTGTGTCAGGACTAGTAGACATCATGGGGACCAAAGCCCTGTCTAATGTACTGAAACATCATTTCCTAGCTCCTGGTTAAGATTTGTGGTTAGAAGTATGTTGGGGTTAGGTTAAGGTTATTTACGCATTCAGCAAGGTTGAGGTTAGGAGGTTTTGGTTTGGCTGTCCGAAATGAACCTAACCTGCGTGTGATTGTGTTACTCCTGCCGAGTACACACAATGTGTAAAAGTTTGTAAAAGATAAACTTGAAAGTAAGTGACACCAATAACAGTCCTTCACACTCTCAACGTCCTTTGTCCAATCAAGTTGTTTAGTTCTTCAAGAAAAAATATCTCCATACTTTCTTCAAAATAAACAAAATGTCTCACAAGTCATTTAAATTACTTAAACACCGACTGACTTTTGTTGGCTCTTTTTGCTTTTATCTTAATTCCTCATATTTATTCTCTGAGCTCTGTCATTCATTCACAGGCGTCTTTCTTGATTTGAATTTGTCCGATCATTTCAGACCCTTAGTCAGTAACACATCATAAATTTGAATCATGGTTTTTACAAAATTTCCAGCATTACTTGATCTCAACCGTGACATAACCAACACCAGAATCGATTTCTGAGTCACACAGACAGATGCATGTTTTGTTGTTAAAAACGTGTCTCCCTCAGTATCGACTCATGTCACACAAAAGTACAGGTAAAAGCCAATGGCCTAAATCTAGCTCTGGTTTTTAAAGTAAAACAGAATTCCTGTGAATCAAACTTTAACGTTTTGTCGGCTAAACTCATCATTTGACCAAGGCCCAAGTATAAAGAAGTACACATTTTTTTCAATCGTTTGCAACATCTGTGTTTTCTCCAGCTCTATAAAAAATTCATCTTTGCACCCTTTCTCACCTTTTGACTTTGAGTTAAAGGTCCAGTGTGTAAGATTTAGGTGAAAGGGATCTATTGGCAGAAATGTAATGTAGAATAATCCTCATGATGTTTTCACTAGTTCATTTCATCCTAATTGTATGAATTGTAGTTTTCTTTACCCCAGAAAAGGCCCTTTATATTTAAATTCTTTATATTTACATCGAGGGGGTCCTCTCTACGGAGGCCACCATGTTTTCTACATTAGTCCAGACTGAACAAACTAAACACCTTTTGAGTTTTTATGACAACGAAGGCTACCACAGGTTCTTTTTCATGTTTGGAAGGAGAGGGTGAGGTGTTCAGCAGCAACATGCAATTTCAACACTAGATATCACAAAATTCTACACACTGTACCTTTAAAGTTTAAATGAAGTGTCTTGAAATGGTTTAAAGTTTAAACCATTTCAAGACACTTAGGGTGTCATGTGGAGTGGACAGGAGCCAGCTCGGCCTCCACATGACAGCCTGACATAGAGGCATGGCTCATTTTTTGCGTCTGACCCAGGCAGGCCCTGTCTGTTTTCAGTAGCTATCAACTGCAGCCATACTGCTTGATTGGTTCTGGCACTGCTGATAGGTGGATAATGAACAGTACAAGCCACCACATGGATACAACACTCTCAAACAGTCTGTACTGGGACCTGGATCTCAGCTTGATAGTGTCAAAAAGGCCGATTGAGAAAATATCTCAGAGCTTTTAAAAGACATTCCTGTTCATTACAAGGCCACAGTTTACAAGTGTACACACCCAACACTAGCTCATTCCTCTATGTTAAGGCTGATAAAGTGTCTTATATCATAGGGAGCAGCTGCAGAACCAAACCCATCCAAACAAAGACTCCAGCTCACCATGTGGCCAACAGGAATCCCCCGAGCATTGAAGTTCTTCGCCATGATGGCCCAGACACCAGACTACAAGCTGAACTCCTGTGCGATGTGCACACTCTCAGGGGACACAGCAAAGTGCTCCACCCAAACATGATGCACACTCCTCATACACACAAACACTCAAAAAACTCATCTCTTTGGTTACTTCCTGCCTTGAAGGGAAGTCTCGCCATAGCAACAAGCCACAAAAGGGGAAGTATTGTTACTATGATCAAACTCTTCTCAGCCTACGTCTTGAGAAATACTCTGATGTGGGAACAAGATCAAGGCAAATGTACTCATTCTGCTTTTGATGCACAGTCACTCGATGCAGTTTATACCATGCCACACTGTCAGCAGTAGATTTACAGCTACAGTTCTGCATCCAGGAAGTTATTTAACGTGAATGTTTCATAAAAATCTTTGAGATTCAAGTAGATAACAGCTATGATATAATCATGTGATGCAGTGGTTTCATGAAAGTCAGAATAAAGTTATTCTCCAAACATCCCTAAACAGCTGAAAGCTGTACGAGTCATTTCAACTTGTCATCTCTCAAACAATGATTACGTTTTCTTTAATAGTTCTTACAGAACATTGACACACTGTTGGCCAACATACTGACCAACAACACTAATACATCACAAACAACAATAATATACACATATACATGATACCTCACTCTTATTTATTTAGGATCAAGAAAAAAATATTTTCAAGAGGCTTGGAATTTCTCATTATTTAAGCATTATTCTTTGGCTTAAGCATTTTAATTGTAGATTACCATTGAAAATATGTTTTCAAAATCAAGGTAAACTAATTTAAACAGTATTCACACAAAACTAGCACTTACATGTATCTTACCAAACACTGTTCAGTTGGCATTTCCTCTAATTAGCTTGACTGAAATAATTGTCGTACCTCGTCATGCACAATGACGCCACGGGCTGTGCTGCACCATTTTTCATAGTTGCTGTTTTGCATTTGAGCTGCAGCCTTTGCCAGACGGCAAATCCTGCGGTAAAGTCTTCTGACAGTGACCATCCTCAGGAGCGCAAGCACACTGCTGCGAGTGGAGAGCAAGGAGCTGGAGAAGTGAGACAGCTGAAAGCTCTCACTCAGGTTCAGAGTTAATGAACACATCTTACCTGAGTGTCCTCAGTGAGGCCGAGCACCAGCCAACGAGTCAACGAGCCAGGTGAAGCAGGACATCTTAATTAAAGGTGCACTGTTGGTCTCTCGGCTAGAATATTGTCAGATATCTGTCGAGCTTCATCAGCCTCGCTGCCTGGATATCTGTGCTGGAATGCAAAGTAGTTGTGTGTGTCCACTGACAACAGAAAAGAAAGACGTTTATGTCAGCTAATGATGAGGTCAGGCACAGAAGCAAAGCAGCTTATTTAACATGCAAGTCCAAAAAAACAAAAAAGAAACTTAACTAACGATGTATGAGACAAAAAAGCAGTGTTACAAGAAGAGGAAACTTCAAACTGTTACTTCAATAAACATGTCCACAGCAGCACTTATTACATTTATTTTGTGATACTGTTACTTTTGACACCTGAATGTTCAGTACAGTGAATTTGGGTAATGTGGGACATTTATCGCAATTTTGACTTCAGCAACTTATTCCGAGTTTTACACATATTATACCTTTCTGTATTCCTTATGATGTTTTCTACCCACACAAGGAGAAATAATAGAGATATCATACTCAGAGAAGACTTTTAGCCAAAAACATTTCAACAAATTTAAAGGTAATTATTTATTTTAAAATCAAGGTTGTCCAGGTAACTGTGCATTCTTCAGCAGACAGCTAATTGTGTTTTTATGTGTGTATTTTATCTTTTGTATATATTTAATTGTATTTTAACATAAGCTACATGTACATTGCATTTCTGTATCTTGTATTTAATTGCTTAGAAAACAAATATTTGCCATTATCTTGTCCACTGACAATCCAGAATTGTCTTTAATATGTTGACATGGGATAAAGACATCATCTGGAGGCTGACATAGTCTATTCAGTTGTTCAACCAACAACATTGTGTTTACAGGCAGACAGAATAGGGTTCCATACAGTGTCTAATTACATTAAAAACATAAAAAAACATTTGAAAATAAAAGAGTTATTTCTTTGTTTCTGTGTCAGTTGTATGCACAAAGTGTAAACACTTGATGTTTTAGTGAAAATAAACTAAAATATAAAAATAATAACAAAAAATAATAGTGATAAAATAAATGTTTAATCAAGTTGTATAAACTTCATGTTATAAAGAGTAATAAAACTAAAATGAACAACATTGAAAATAAAATTTATGAAAGTTAAGTACACGGATGGCTGATCAGCAGCACCCTCTACTGGCCACTTTCTGAATGAACACTGTGCATGAAGGCCCTGCATGACGAATGTGTTTCTAAGCTGCAGTTCTTCAAGTGCAGGTGGAATAATAAAATATTCTGAGCAAAATTACCCATAATTTGAGTCTCCTTATGTGATGAGTGCACAGGCAGTGCATATTTTGCACAAGTAAACCACACTACTTATCTCTTTCTCTCTTTTCTCTTATCCATAATAAATGTGGACATGCCATCATTTTAACTTCAGTGACATGCAAATAACACGCAGTAAACAGCAGCCTGGCTGTCACCGGTAGCAACACTCCCACTAACACATACAGCTTTTGTATTGTTTGTTCCATGAGCTTCCAGGAATATCTTTATTTGCATCCGTATCTGTGTTTATGATCTGAAATTTTCCAATGAAAAGACCATTCTGTCAGACGAAGCAGAGCAGATCATCACTCAGCTCTGTGTGAGGAGACGACACCACCACAGGTAAAATGAAAAAAATTACATTTAATCATTGTTATGTTTATTATTTCTGATGACTCGTAATAATACCTCATGTAGAAGGTGTTGAATGTGTACGTGCAGTGATATTTACTTCACTTAATGCGTCAATGCTGTCCGCTCTTATTTTAAGATATTTGTTGTATTCTGTTCTTGAACGTATTCCCCATAGAGAATCGTTATGAGAGAGATGTTTCAATATCTTCTGCTTGGTCATCTCCTCATAGGTAAGCAGTCTGTGTGTGTGTGTGTGTGTGTGTGTGTGTGTGTGTGTGTGTGTGTGTGTATTAACATGTGTTCTGTTATTCTAGCTGGTGTTGTCTCTCAGTGTGTTCCTGTCCAGAAGTGTCTGAAATGTAACATCACAGAAGTGGCTCGAGCAGGTAAAAAAAATGAAAAACTAACTGTGACGGAAGATATAAAGGGAAAATGTCTCCAATATTATTTCTTCCGTCTCTGTAGATTCTTGTCAAAGCTGCCCGAACACTTCCTGCATTCAGGGTTTGTGCCCTTTTCTCACATATAGTAGACTCAAGGTTTACACAGCAAGATGATACCTCTCCATTTTTTTCCCACTGTTGAATAATGAAGCTAAAACATACCAGACTTGAACACTGCCATCTTGTAAATTTGCCATATTGTAATTTTATCTAATTAAAAGCAAACTCACTGGAACAAAATAACACTTAAAATTTAGTGTGATCAGAACCACCTAAAATGACAGAAAATATTTATCTTACATGTGTTCTAACATTTTACCCTTGTACATGTCCTATCTACTAACACGGAAGAGGCTGAGTGTATAACCTATGCTGCAGCCAGCCACCAGGGGGTGAGATGTTTTGGCTTCATTTTTTGGGGAGCTGTCATGTCGTCCATCAGTTTATTCATTGATTTTCCCAGGAAAAAAACAAATTATTTTTATCTTAGACTAAACTCAATGAAAACCTAGGATGTGTCATGAATGCTGTGTTGTAAATTGAATCCTGGCTGTAACTGAACTCCCTCTGTTCCTCTTTACTCTTCTCTCAATATATATGCAGATGCAGAATATGAAAATATTTCATCAAACTGCAAAAGAGGTAGCGTGCAACAATATTCTGATCAGTGTCTGTGCACTGAGACACATAAAGTGACTTCTGAGTGATTATTTCCTTCTCCTCCCCCACTCCCTTATTGATTCTTCCCATCAGCCTTTTCAGTTTCTATCAATAGTTCTAGATCCGATGTTGAAGAGGGAGATGACATCAATCTGACATGTATGCATAACTTCGTCAATTTGACGCTAAAGATAGGGTGGAAGCACAACGGGAAGAACATCACACAACGGGGACAAAACAGGGCCACGCTATTTCTCAAAAAAGTTTTTCAACCAAATGAGGGCAAATACATCTGCTATGTGAAGAGCCGATGTGGCATTCATGAGTCCTTGCCATATGATGTCACTATTAAAAGTGAGTAGACGTCTCCCTGCTTAAAACACACAGCCACAGATTTGCTTTAGCTTTAAAATATTGTTTAAATTCTGAATTAAAAGCCCAGGAGCCATTAATGGCTTTAAACAGTGTATTGACCCCTGACAGCATGTGTCTGTGTCTGTGTTTCTGCCGCTGAAACTGTCTGCGTGTCCTCGTCCAGACAACAGTGTGATCCTCCTGATTGTCTGTGGGACTTTAGCTTTGGTCCTGTTCCTGACTCTGGGACTGTTGTTGAAGTACAAGCTGAAAAGAGACAATGGTAAGATCTCAGCTCAGCTTCTCTTTATCTTCTTAAATGCATGCTTAGGTCTATATTACTCTGATATATGCTATATGATGTATAAATCATTTGTTTCAAATAAATTCATGATAATTATGTTGCGGGTATTTTTTATTTTCATGTTTACTACAAATAGCTGGATAAGAACAATGATTAGACTGTAACCATAAATTGAATGGGCAGCTTTATCAATTAAATACAACACTCTGCAGGCTCTGTGCATTATTTTCAGAAGGCAAATAATTAAAGGGATAGTTTTCACATTTTGGAAAACATTCTTCTTCTATTCTCTTTCTTGACAAACATTGAGCAACATGAGATTCTAACATCACTCTCATGTGTGGACGTCTATGAGGCTGGAGCCACAAGCTAGTTAGCTGAGAAACAACCCAGCAAATAATCCTTGTGAAACGAGATCAAATGTGAACCTCGGAGGTGCTGGTGGATTTTCATGTGTTTGATTATCAAGTGTGACACTGATCTTCATGTGTTTCTCTCTGCAGCAAGACACAGAGAGCGGAGGGAGATGAGGGCCCAGGGTGAGAGGTCCTAAAGTCATCCATTCAAACTAAATCAGTACTGAAACTGTTTCACAATCTGCTATTATAGTATTTCATATCGAAATAATAAAACTTCTTTAATCCCTGTCATTGAGGCTAACTCTGTGTGTGTGTGTGTGTGTGTGTGTGTGTGTGTGATCAGGTGAGGTCAAAGCTTATGTGGGGGCCGTTTCCAGCCCAGGGTTGATCCATTGTATAACACAGCGTTCATGTTAGCCACACCCACTGACCATCAAGCCTGTCCGGTTGAGGGAAAGAGCCCAGAAATGTTTTAATCCAGACACAGGACAGACTTGTTCAAACTAATCCCGCTGAATGCTCCATTCACACGAGCACACACGACACCGAGCAGCTTTGTGGTGGCTGCCGTGTAATGGATATATGGGCCGATAATGCTTTCCACTCTTCTCCAAGAGAGGGATAGACGTGGGATTTGAAAGTTGACTTATGAAAACAGAAATGCAAAGTTCCTTTGGTTCAGTGGCGCGATATAATCCCCTGGAGTTTATGCATTAAAGCGAACACTGTCAATCTTCACGCTGCCCTCAGTGTCTTTGCTTTTCTGCACTGCACTGCAGTCTCCCCCTCGGCCTGCACTGCAAAATGTCTGATGTGTGTTTTTCCTCCTCGTGATATCTGTGTTTGAGAGTGTGTCAGGACGGACTGTTTATTCAGTTTCCTCCCAGAGCAGGTGGCTAAGGGATAATCCAGGTAAAGCCACTGCAAAGTTGAGATGGAGAGATGGGCAGAGGAAGGCGGGTGGGGGAGGGTGGATGGGGTGGCCTTCGCATGGACAGGGCTAATTCTGGCCTCCTAATCCCAGTCCCATCCACCCTCCCCCTCTTCCTGCTTGCTAACTCCACGGCAACAGTGGGGAGCACTTGACGCCCAGGTGGACATTACTACCACATTCACACACGTTGCACTGAACCCACCCAAGTTTACTGAGGTCGGAGAGGAAATAGAAGAGAGGCTGCCGGGACCTGTTGTGCCTGGTTGAGCCGGGCAGCTGACACACCTGAGTGAGCTTCACTGGAGAATGTAGCTGCAGCCCTCCAGCCGACCCACAGGAAACACGCCACCATGGGAGAAGCTCAAAAGGTAAGAGCCCCTGATCTGGGGCAACAGGACTTATGGAACCTTTGCTGTCTACTTGATGCAGGAGAAAGAGTGTGGACCATCAAGTATGAAGTGTGATTTAGAGAATGTCTTTATTAAATGCAGTTTTCAGCCATGGTGGTTGGATTTTTTAAAATAATTTGGCTTTTCTTATTATGTTGATAGAATATAGAACTATGATTATAAATCTAAGAGGACCCTCTAATACCATTTGATTAACAGGTAATCACATATACGCTCCAGTATCAATTGCCTTGAATCAAATACGTAAAGCTACAGTGTGACTTTAGCCTGCAGTTGTGCAACATGTAATTAACTGAACAGAGGTCTGATCAAAGTTTTCTAAATGAAGCACCAGATTCATTTTTACAGAATAGTGGTGGCAGCCGTGCTGGAGCTCCAGAAATCAGGGCAGGAGATTGGTTGTTGGGTGGGCGGAGCAATAAGTGTGTAAGGGGAGCTTTGACCTGAAATTGGAAAGAGGTCAGCGGGATTCTCCTCAGGTGCTTCGCTCATGTGCTTTCATATTCCAAACGTCACAAACTAGAAATATCCATTGATGAACGACCTGTGATGGTATTTGTTTGATTTCCACAAGATAACACAGATTCCACACAGATAAGTATTGAAAGTATTGAAAGATGCTGTCAGTCAGCGTATGGGTGTTTCCCTTCTGCAGGGCTTACTCTCTGTCATTGAGAAGCTGAAGGGATCCACTGAGCGGGAGGTCAGGATAGTGCTCCTGGGCCTGGACAACGCCGGCAAGACCACCCTGCTGAAGAGCCTCGCCTCTGAGGACGTGAACACCATCACACCAACGCAGGTGGGGGAGGTTACATGTTCAAACTCATGCACTCTCACGTCATGACCTCATGACGTCTTGAAAGTGGCACACTGTGACATTAAATCAGAGACTGCACTGAACTGTCCATCTTCAAAACCCACCTTTTAATCTTTGAGTATTTGTAGTTATTTATTAGTTACTGTTGATCTCTTTTATTTTCTTTTTTAATCATTATTTTTTTAGCAAAAGTATTGTGTTTTTGAGCATTGTTAAAAGCACTGTACAAAGGAATTATTATTATTATTGTTCTTATATGATTTAATTTATTATTCAAAGAAGAGTAACAATAAGAGGAATAAGAATATGAGTAATAATAATAATAATAAGTTGCCTCTGTGTTCCACAGTAATATCATTTTGAATATATTTAGAATTTCTTATGCTACTGTGACCCAGCGTAAGAAGAGGCAGAGGGATTGTATTTAATCTTGCTCAGAGTAATGGGATTCACATGACCTTTGCTTTTCGGACACTCTGTGAAATTAAATGATTGGTTGTACAGTACACACACTGATCAGTAAAAGAAAATGACGGGGAGGACGTCAGATCATCTCGTCGTTGTCACTTATGTTAAATAGCCTTTCATCTGGAGATAAACCGTGTCCTCACATGACCTTCTTACGATTGCATCCCCCCAATATGCTTTCTGAGAAGATCCACGCAAGGCTCCTCCTTTTTGTTATCGCCCAGTTCGGATATGATTATCTAACCTCTAATATGATTATCTAATGCTCTCACAAGACATGGAGCAGATGCAGCGTCAGGTTGGGTGTGACAGCTCAACAGACATCAGGCAGAGAGGATGCAGTCCAGTGCAACATGGCAATAGTCACCACAAAGCTAAATCAGACCTGACGCATACACAACACATAGACTGCACTTGATCCTTCCAGTCTTATCCTCAGATTTGCTCCTCGGATGGCCCTCAGGATAAAGTTGTTACACAACCTCGCCAACTGAAGCAGAGCGTTATGAAAAACAGCCACAGATTAACTCGGTGACCATCTCCCTATAAACACCTAGACTGGGGCATGTGTTGCACTCCTGCTCGCACGTAATGAGAGCGCAGCTAAGAGCAAACAAACAGAGATTAACCTAACGCGTGTGTTTCAGTCCTAATTCATAACCGACCGCGAGGTCATCTACGGTGCTGACCTGAAGACGGCGTAATGTGCAGTACAGTGACTTCAGCTCTGTGTTTTCACCTCAGGGCTTCAACATAAAGAGCGTCGCCTCTCATGGGATGAAACTCAACGTTTGGGACATCGGAGGACAGAGGAAGATCAGGCCGTTCTGGAAAAAGTATCTGGAAAACACAGACCTGTTGGTGAGTGACTTCAGTCAATTCAATTCTGCAGCTTGTCCCTGAAATTTAAAAAAGAACATGAGAGAAGCAATAAACAGGCAACTCACTGAGGCATGATGGGACATTTTACAGAACAAAGAGCTGATACATAAGGTTTAATTACTCAGGACAGATGACAAGTTAAACATTGTCTGAACTTCATATTAAAACTTTAACTTTATGGTCTTATTTATCTCCACAAAGGAGGTTATGTTTTCGTCTGTTTGCTTGTTTGTTAGTTTGCAGGAATATGCAAAAACTGCTCAACAAATTTCCTTTAAAAGTCATGTTTTTTTTTATTTCTCAGAGAGTAGTTTATGGATCTTGATGGAATCAGGCATGTTTAATGAGCTGCTATTTATGAGCGTGTGCAATTTCTTTAAAAATTTGAATCTAGTGAATTTCAATGTGGTTTCATATGGGGACTGTTGGGCTGTGGCAGAGGTGTGTGTTCCAAGGATGTGACAACTGTGTTTTATTGAAACTGACCAACATGCAGGAAATATGTTGAGGCCAAAAAACTAAATACTTTGTTTTTGACTTGTAGTAAATAAGACTGTTGACTTCATTGTTGTGTTTTCTCTTTTAGATTTATGTTATTGACAGCGCAGACAAGAAGCGGTTTGAAGAGACAGGCCTGGTGAGCTTAATACAGCAAATACATTCTGACAAAAACCACAGCAAACCTAACTATGCACATCTAACTACATAGAAATGCAAACATATAAATAACAGTTTTTTCTAGTAAATCGGTAACTTAATAAAAAGTCTTTGCAAACATGCAGGAGCTGTCTGAGCTCACTGAGGAGGAGAATCTAAAGGGCGTTCCAGTGCTCATCTTTGCCAACAAGCAGGATCTGGCCACAGCATCGCCGGCCAGCGAGATCGCAGAGGGACTCAACCTGCACACGTACCGGGACCGTGAGTGGCAGATCCAGGCCTGCTCTGCTGTGTCCGGGGAGGGAGTTCAGGTCAGACCCAGCAGGATTTCTTCTTCAGATGGAACCCAAACAACCATATAGATGTGATCTCTGCCTTCTTAACTGTTGAAATTGAATGTCAACATCTTCTTTGACTTGCTGAGTGTTACTTGAATTGATTTCAATCTTTAAAAAGTTTGAATTTGATTAAGAATCCAAGTTGAACAGTTTTCTTGTCATTTCTCCATCAGGATGGCATGAACTGGATTTGCAACAACATCATAAACAAGAAGAAGTGAACCAGCGATGACACTGACCGGAGTCAAACCAAGCATCTCATCTCATAAGGGATTAAAGAAACTTCACTTCATTAAAAAAATCAATGCACCTATTACAGATCCTGCTCCGCTCACAGATCTGAACGATGACATTGTTTTTACAATTTGTGTCATTTTTATGAAAATATTGTGAATGTAGCTCATTTAAATGTAATATTTCTAGCCAAGATAAGTGAATGAAGATCTAACTAATCATTGTTCAGCCCTAAACATGTAGTGTTTGTTCCCTTTATCCCAATGATCCTTGTCTGGTGAATCTGTGTGCTTTCTTAATGTGTAACCATGTAGAACCATAAGCGTTTATCAGTTTCATAGACATCAGTTCAGAATGAATGTAAAGTATGTGTTTTGAGATTTTTGACAGTAAAATAATTAGTCATTTCTGCTACTTTGCTTTATTTTTTTTGTAATTAAGATTTTTCGAACATGCACATACAAACTTGCAGAAACAATGGGAGCAGGCAGATTAATGATTTAGTCACAGTTTTAATAAATTGTCTCAGAATGCACATGAGAGCGTCTGTAAAGGCCAGCGCTTCCCTGAGTGACATGAGGAACAACACCAGGCTGATCTGCCGCTGCTCAGCTGTCGTCTGTCTTTATTTACGCACTGTGACCACGAGCTCATTCGCTGTATGAGTGAGAGAGAGATGAGAGTCTGCGTTAATGCACTTGCGTGGCACAACAAGATATCAAATCCTCAAGGCCCGGCAGAACAAACTGTGCAGGAAATTACAGGCAGGAAGGCTGACTAATTTTCAGCAGGGAGACTGAAAATGTTTGTTTTATATGTTAATTCTGGAACTGTTACACACACAGTCTCTGCAGCAGGGAGACTGAGTGGAGGCTTACGTGTGGACGCCTTACCACTTATACACATATTAAAACTCTCTCGCCCAGCTGTGAGAACTCTAATCTAAAATAATTATACTTTGTGGGATCAGCTCTGGGTTAAAAATCCTTCAAATGAAACATTGTTTATATACTACTGATTTGAGATGACTTCCTCAGTGCACACTATCTATAAGACAGTCTTGAAGGCCCACGCAGTCCTCTGGTCTCTCCTCACATATTTATCCTTTATGGTGACCTTGGGGAACGATCTGTCCTCAATTCAGCCATTTTGGCTCTACTCAGCTGCAGCTGGATTTAATGGGTCTTTTGTTTCTATTGTCTGGAGCTGTAATTAACCACCTGAATGTTCTCTAGTATTCTCTAACAGCTCGTGCTCTCCTACTCCACAGGAAACGATGTCAATGATTATGTTTTTTTTTTGTCTTATCTGGTATTTATATGCGGGCAGATAACAGCTTCCTGTCTTACTTGCTCAGTGTTACCAAAAGGACTGAATATCAGCACAGCAAATGAGTCATCTCCATGGTGACTAAAAGTTGGAGCAGGTCCTGAAACATTTTTGCAGGCATCAGCCCCTGTTGAGGGAGCACAGCGGGGCTGTGGGACCGATTACAACTTGTACCAAAGCATCATTATGGCTGTTTGAAAGGGACCAGAAGGCACAGGAGCTGGGCCTGTGATGAGAGCGTGTGTTTTGCCGTGTGTTGTTCAGTGTCGTTAACCAACAGGTGGCAGCATTGGAAAGCCTGATCAGTCCGAGGGCAGACGAGGAGGCTGTGCTCTTCACAAAAAAGTGATTTGTCACGTTTTAATAGAACTAATTTTATTTGATGTGTTTACGACTCATGTTTGATTTGACACCTGTATTCCTGCACAGATTCAGAAGAGCACCATTAAATTATAGACTTTATATAAAACAAATATAATATTTGACCATATGCTGGTCGGGCCATGCATTGTGTAGTTAAAAGACTGAACATATTTCATTGCTCTTCCTTCTGTTTAAAATCCCCTGATATCTCCGCTTGTGTTCTGTAAAACATTCTTGAGGCGATATGATGTCAGTTTTATGTTAGTGGCCCTTCAGCAAATGTTGCCATGGTAACACTCCCTGTTATTCGTGGTCCACCAACCTCTCTCATTCAGTCCAGCCCTCCCTCTCTGTGGTCCTCCATTGCTTTCATTTTTCCCAAGCTCTGCTTCATCAAAAGACGCTGCAACAACACAGTCCAGGTAAGAACAAGATTGAGCGCTGACAAAAGACATGATCATCTTTGATAAAGATAATTAACCAGCTGATTTTTAATATACTGTATGGAAGTATATTTCTAAAATGAATATTGTTGAGTTGATTTAACAAGGGTTACATTGCTAATTACTGTATTATGTTGAGACAAAGCCAAAATCCTTTTTGTTTTTACTGTTATTTAGATTGTTTATCATTAGATTAGATTAAACAAACTCCACCTGAATTTGTATCTAAACATAACAGCTGTGCTAAGGTGAATATGAATTTCTACATGTGATAAACCAAAGTAAATTATGAATTTCTCCTTCAGGCAGCTAGAAAGAATCTCAACCCACAAAGGCCACACATCGTCACATCATGCAGGAAGTTGCCCACCTGGCCTCCATGAAGCCAAACCTGCCCAAAGTGACTCCACAGCCCAGTTTCTATGCCTCGTCCTTGAACCCCGGCGCTCTGACCACCACCACCCTGCTCCCATGGGAGGAGTTGCACATGCAAGTGCACACCATCCTGATCACTGTCATTTTTTGCGTGGTCTGCCTACTGCTGCTGCTGGCCTTCGCGTACGCTTTCTGCCTCCACTGCTCTATCAGCTCATCGCCTAAAGACTCGCACAGAGCCAACAGAGGCAGCCCAGACCGCGAGGACGCCACCTACAAGAAAAGTTCATCAGATGGCCCATCAGTGGGGAACGTTGTCTGACCGTGAATCTGGACTAGGATAACTCATATTTGATTTATGTTAGGATTGTGCTATTCTCGGTTTATCATTCATTGCAAGTGTGGATATGGATGTGTTTCGCGGCACTGAAAATTTGATTTGATGTTTATATGAACCTGTTATAACCTAGGAACACTAGGCCACAAAAGCTTAAACACAAGGACATGTATTTTTTACCAGGCGAGGTTGACTGGAGTTCGAGGAAGATGAGCAAACACATGCATGCAAATCATGATGCAGGATAAAACATGTCTCTATGCTGATCCATGGAAAAATGTGTTTAATAAAAAACAAATGTAAAATATATGCAAATGTAAATGTGAGTATGAATGCGAATGCCTCTGAGTGACAAGACAGGACGAACAATAACGAAAGGAACCACAGACAGCCAATATCAGTCATCTCTCTTTATTTTCACTGAGCTGACAAGCGTTTACATTGTGCCGGGGCTGTGGATTTGACGAGACCGAGCTAGAATAATGAATTCAGACGTGAGGAGGGAGAGGGAAGAGAGGGATTTCTTTTCTCCCAGGATGAAACAAGATGTCAAAACTATAAAAAAAAACAGTGCAGGAAATTACAAAGCCTGTGTCCACTGACAGTGAACACTTTTTGGAACTAAAACATTTTACAATACGGGTGCACAGCAAAATCTTTCAGTGGCGATCGCCCTGAGGTGACTGATGTGAGGTATGAATTGGAGACGTGTCTTTTCACTCTGGGAACAGATTGAGCTCCGAGGCAGCTGTTGCAAACAATCAAAGTGTAAAGTTAACACTGATTTGTTTCTGTATTGTCCGAGCTAAATGAGCACTGATGATGATATTTGCTGTGCAGTATTAACGCCACACACAACCACTAGAGATTTCAAGCTTTATAGTCTAGTCCATGTACAAACAACATGTCATCAGAGGTTGCCATGGCATCACCAAAAAAAAAAAGTCTCCAAGAAGGCAAACAATAACAGTAAAATCCTGCATTTCTATCTGGTGTCGGACCTAACATTCACTGCTTTGAGTGAGTTGTACATAAAGCGCTTCAGAAGCAGTAGAATTACTGGCTATAGCATTAGCTAGCATCGGGTTGGGTTCACGACACAGAGCACATGGCGCTCTTGGAGCTGTGGGAGTCGCAGGAGCTGCTGCGGGACTCCGTGACGGAGTCTCGGCCATCGCACTCGTGCGAGTTCAGTTCCAGGTGAGAATCCTCGAGGCCGTCCTGCAAAGCGTCCTTGTAGTGTGGCTGGGGAGGGAACAGTTCAGGGAATCATCAAATGAGTCATTAAGGCAGCAATCTAGAAATCCTAGAGAGCAAAATATGCCCTCCCACCTTATGAACAGACGTCTCCTCCACGTGGGACTCCTCCATCGACTCCTCCGGGGAAAGGCCCGAAATCTCCATCTTGATGCGATGAGAGCGAATAGACTTGACATCGTCCTTGCCTTCCCCCGCAACCAGAGGGAAAACCTGCAGGCATAGACAGACAGAGACGAGAGGATTCAGAGAGGATGACGGAGGAAATAAAGCAAATGAGACTGAGCACCATTATAGAACATATTAAGCTGAATTTTTTTATTTTTTTACCAGTCCCTCCTCATTTCGCGTGGCCTCAGGGGCTGAGATGTTAGCCTTGCTGATGGTCTGATTCTCAAACTGAGGACACGCTGCCTGAGCATTCCCATCCTTGTCCCTCTTTCCTTTCAACCAGTACGTCTCGATTTCAACATTCCCCTAAAAATGGAGCGTACAGAGGAAAAAAGGTTGGACAAACACAAATATTCATACTGTAATATTCATTGATTTCTGCTGTGGAGGATGGTAAAATAACAGGTGGCAACTTTCCATTAGTTGAAATTCCCTGATGAAAAGTGAGTCACCATTGGTTTCTGAGATTGGCCCCTGCAATCAGTAGCTATAGAGACCTCTGGGAGTACCATTGGTGGCTTTATCACTGACTGTGCACCCTCAAAGTCAGACCCACTGATAAAACAGACTGGCAAATCAACAGGCAGGCTGCCAAACACCAGCTCTGAATACTGAGTGTGCTCACTCCCCAGAGCCAAAACACTGAGTTTTATTTTCAATATTTTTCACACTCTGGAATGTTTATTGTGTGTGAGTGCTGATATGCAAATCATTCATTAGTACAGATTAGAGCCTCAGTGATGGGTCCCACGTAGTTTGTGTGGAGAGAACATGTGTTTAATTTTGAGTGGTGACACACACTTAACACTTACAATACAATTAACGCAGCCATTAACGTGTTCCACATATTACACTGAGGATAAACAAAAGTTCTTTAAATTGAATTAAAATTAACTAAACTAAACTAAATTAAATTAGTTGCTCTGGTGACAGTTCTGATCCTGACCTTGATGGTGATGGTGCCCCTCCTTTCGAAAATGAAGTGACTTCCTTTCAGGTGCTCATAGGTGGCGCTGCTGAGCTGAATGTGCATCTCCTGATTTAGAAAAAATCACAGAAAGGTGGTTCATCTCTTCAGAGTCAGATGATAAATGTAGATATTCTGACTTGACTAAGCCATAACTTGCCTCTCATGTGTCATCAATGTTACTTTCACTAATCTCTTCATCCCTACCTTGCCGTTGCTCTCCATGGCGGATGCGGTGTGGACCGTGTCCCCGTGCAGACCGTAACGTGGCATCTTATGTCCCACCACACCTGCCACAACCATGCCAGAGTGGATCCCTGCAACCACAGCAGCAGGTTGGTTCACTCGATCAAACACGAACATGTACTCACTTACATGTTCAAACACTTTCTACCCACCAACACGAATCTGTATGTGGTTGCCATTGGAGGGATCTTTTAGGTGGTCGATGGAGCGCACCATGTCGAGGGCCATGTCACAAATGTTATGAGCATGGTACTTGGTTTTCTCGGGAGCCCCAGCAACCACCATGTAGGCATCTCCAATGGTCTCAACCTGGAGAGGAACACAACGGCAGCTCTTACACAGGAGCACTATACCTGTGTAAACTGAATTGCACAGAGGACAAACATATACACACAAACCTTGAATACGCGATGCTTCTCGCTGAGCGTGTCAAACAGCGTGTACATGGTGTTGAGCATGGAGACCACCTGCATCGGGGTGATGTGGCTGCAAATGCGAGTAAAACCCACAACATCGCTGAAGAGAATGGTCACATCTGGGAACACCTGGGGGAAAGACAAGATAAGATAATCTTTTATTAGCCCCACAATGGGGAAATGTGTTATACATGTTATATGAACTGCAGCAAGAGTGAAATAGGCATCAGTAAGTAACCTGTAACATGCAATACTAAGGGTAAGGATAATAATACATGAATGTAACAAATATAAAAAAATATAGAAAAATATGAATTACATAAAAAAAGTGTACCGCAGTGGGCAGGAAAGAGGAGAGGATGAAATAATGGAGACTGAACTACAGCTAACTCTGGCTCAACAGCTATGGTAAGGCAGGGAAATAAAACAATATCAATAATTAATGTAATTTATTTTCATCAATATCATTATAACAAGGTCAATGTACATCAATATAATGCTAAGTAATGTGACATTTATCTTTATGATTATCCAGATTATCGATATTGGGAGATATGATATCTTGACATGATTTTGTATTGCTCACCACTAGGTTGTGTTGTGCATGGTCCCAGTAACATGAATTAATAAAAAAAAATTACTGGACCATTTTTGATGTCTGCACTTGACTGCACCATCAAGAGATTTCTCTCAAATTGAATTTGCAGATCTAAAATCAAGTGAATTTAGATGTTTCATAACTGAGATAGTTATTTCTGTTGTTATAGGCACTTGCAGTGTAAAATCAAAGGTGAACCGTGGCCTATATGTGGCGCTATATACAATCCTGACCTCACAAGTGTTCACAGCAGGCTCTCCTTTGCGGAGCCTCTTAGCCACTGGCTTGGGAATCATCCTGTAGAGAAGGTCATCGGTCTTCTTCATCTCATAGTCCAACATCTTCATGCTCTCCTCCAGCTTACTGGACTTCTTCTGCTCCTGCACTCACAATGAGGACGAAGAGAGAGAGAGAAAAAAACACTGTAAGTCTGCATCTATTTTCTTCACCTCAGGTCTGCGGGTGGAAGGTGATGAGCGGCTGCTGGACTGAAAGAAAAAGGCTTCAGAGACACTTTGCATAACACAGAATGACAAGTGAGCTGATCAGACATCTAAAATGCAGCTGCACTTTGGCTCAGGGCACCTGTATGAGAGCTCTCTTCAGCTCCTCTGACTGCTGAGTCCCTGCCAACACCAGATCTCTGCTGGAGTCGTGCATACTCAGGTCATTGATGTACAGGCCGGTCCTGAACATCGCACTCAGACTCTCCATCCTGCACATACACACAGTGAAAAATTAAAGATTGAATGAATGAAAAAAAATTGTTTTGTCAATGCCCGCATGAGGGCATTTACTTGCAAAAACAAAATGTTGCAGATGAGGAGGGAAATGTTTTGGTAATGTACTCTGTGGAAAAACACTCTCAGTTGCAAATTGGTTCCCATTACGCTCACAAGAGCTGCACTGTCTGATTACAGGCTAATTAGCAGCTCATTTCATGCATGGTAAGTGCTGTTCGAATGGGCCCCTGATTTGATTCACTGCCCAGGCTTTTATTTCCAGCACCGTAATTCAGTTTGGCTAGCTCTGCTTTTTAGACTGTTTTACTTTTAAACAGCAGCATTTTAATAAAGATCTGTGTCTATGGCAGCATATGTGTGTGTGTGTGTGTGTGTGTGTGTGTGTGTGTGTGTGTGTGTGTGTGTGTGTGTGCATGCGTGTGTGTGTGTGCATGCCTTACACAGGAGTTCCCAGGAAGATGATGGACTCCCACTCTGGCATGTATCTCATTTGTCCTTTTAGTTTCAGGCAGCGGGTCCCATCACCCCAGCTCTCCATCGCATTAGCGCTGTTACCGTCTAAAAGAGGAGCAAATTCAAATGCTAAAAAGAGACAAACATCCAGAGAGGTGTGTGAGGTTAAACTTCAGCAGTAAATAATAACGGAGTAAAAGATGTCATCAGAATGGAAGCAGCAGTTTAGCATTTTTAAAGTGCAAGATCAAAATAGGCTTCTTTCCTTTCTGGCCAACAAGAAAATCAATACCACTCTTGTATCTTTATGTTCAATATGAAGCTATAGCCAGCAGCTAATAAGTGTAGCTAAGCAAAATGAAGCCTCTAATGGGTTTAGGTAGATTTTGGGCCCTACTACTGCTTGGGAGAAAACATTGACTGTATATGCAGATGGATAATGCATCTCCACTTCCTCTCATTGTACATGAAGCCAAAACTAGCTAAGACCACACTAGCTTTTTGCTCAAAGATGCAAACTCAAGTTCAAGCTATGCATGAAAGTTGACAACTTTCAGCAAAAATATAATATTTCCAACTTTAAACTATTCCTTTAAAGTTTGATTGCTTTGTATTTCTTTTTCTTTGTTCAGTTGACTGGTGCATTACTGCCACAAATGTCTCTGTATCTATTATTATGTTTTGTAATTAGAAAGCCAGACTATGTCAATGCTTGTGTCTTTGTATGGTCTATGAGAATTTCTATAGGTCATGACCTTTGTAATCATCTCCAATGATGGACTGGAAAGCCATGAGCTCCACATCGACGTCAGCGGTACGATTGGCATTTTCATAGTCAGAATCTGTGGAAAAACAAGGTCGACTGTCAGAGCCATAAACATACATATCACACCCTCCACCCACCACAAAGAGGGCAGAGATCTGATAATGTTCAATCAATTTAAGTTGAATCAAGACATCAAACAATTCAATTTCCAGCAACTGTGAGAACTCACAACTTTATTTCAGCTGCATTTTCAAAGTTAAATGTTAATGTTTGAGCTCTTGTGGGAGAAGAAGCATCCAATTACCACAAACCTGCTTTTTTTTTTAATAAGTGAAAGTTAAATTGAGCAGGGTTTTTGTGACTGACTGTTTGGAAATTGATCTGACCACACACCTGTGAGTCCTGGCCCACCAGACACACACACACATTCACACACACACCCCTGCAAAATGTTTGCTACACTCTTACTTTGGACTCGGTTGTGAAGGTTCCTCTCTCTTTTCACAGGCTCCTTGGACATTATCTCAAACAGATTGTTAGGGTGGGAGATGATCTGTGTGCAGAACACAAAGTCGGTATTCTCACCTGTTTCAATTTAATATTTAAGATGCATTGAGCAAAGTTTGATCTGAAGTGGCTGAAAAAGATTCAAGTTGTCTGAAATTTGGAAGTGTGATATCTTACCATGTTCCAGGTGAACTCCACTAGGGGGCGAGCGAGCAAGAAGGCATCGTTGATCTTCTTCCCATCCAGATCAGGGAAGACTGTTGACAGGCCCGAGCCCACGTTATGCACCACCATGTCCTGAAGAATCAAAAGAGGGATGGACTGTTCACTCACTTAAAACGTTATTTCGCTCATTAATTTCCCTTGGGAGGCTGAGGAGAGATTACCTGTCTGAAGACAATATTGAAGGGGAAGACCTCAAAGAAGAAGTCTGAGGTAATGGGCAAAATCTCCTGCTCTTCCTCATCCTCCTTCATGATGTAGCGGTAGGCTGAGTTGTCAAAGTTCAGCCTGCATGAACACACAGATCAATATGTTTTCTCAAGTTCAAAGTTGAGTATAAAGTGTGTTTACAGGTTATTTAGAAAAATGTCCCTTTGGCTCAAATATTATCATCTATTTCATTCATAAATTGATGGTACTGATGCATCAATGCACCTGTAGCATGTTACTGTGGTGAACCTGGATCAGATCAATGTGCTTCAAAGTGTGAGATTTTTTACATTTTTCCCAGAGAATAATTCCTGACTCTTGATTAAATAAACCAGGCACATTTTGTGAGCTGATATCTATGAGTGTGCCAAATAAATCGAGCAAAGTCAATATTTTCTTCTTAAATGCAATGGAGGAAAGGTTGTACTTGTTTACTTTTCACCAGTTGGTATAAAAAGCTTGTGTGTGTGTGCGTACCTCATGGTGACGTGGGAGTAGTCTCCGACAATCTGCTCAGACATCACCTCCACTTGGATGTCTGTGTCGTAGAATTGCTTCCCCATCTGCCTCAGCTGACCCATGGCATAGTGCAGGTAGCCTTTACGCTTACTCCTGCAGATCAGAGAGGAGCAAAATCCAATATCTTTCTGAAGAGATTCATGGCACCACCTCGGTATTTTCTGCTCTGTTCTTCTATTTTTACATGTAATGCCTGATAGCCCATCAATCTGACCCACTCCAACCCTCTGCCCTCCTCCTCCTCATTGTCTCAGACCTGTAGTGGAGGGTGACTCCGGTAGCAGACTCCTCCTGGCAGAAGAAGGTCGGGGGCTGCACCTTGGGGTAGCTGAAGCGCAGGTATTCGTGGAGGTTGTCAAGGCCGTTGACAAAGTCACGTACGTGGCGGCCCAACACCTGAGGGTAGAGACATGGGATGACAGGTGACGTCAAAGAGGGATGATGTTCCTTTTTTAAAGGTATCTTTAAAGGGACGTGTCAGTTTGCTCATGGAAGGGAAACACTGTAAATCACTGTCTGAAAACAATACTATGATGTTAGAGTTCTGATATGGGGGCTGGACATAGAGGCTAATAATGCAATGGTAAATTAACTGAATTTATATATCGCTTTTCAGGTCCTTTTCAGGTTTTCAAAGCCCTTAAAGCACAAGTAATATATCCATTCACATACAGCACTATATGCGTTTTTCTATCACACACAACGACACACCATCGGGTTCAGTAACTTGCTCAAGGACATTTTGCAAAGCAATCTGGAGGAGCCGGGGATTTAACCAACAACCCTCTGGTTACACTCTTTTGTCTGCATGAATCCACTGATAACCTCTCACAAATAAGTAATTTATTTGTAAGATTTTCACTCCTCAATTGCCTCAGGACTTCATGTTTAAGAGGAAATTTTAACATGAAAAACAACACTCACAATAATCAATAAACACTGAGCTGACTGATTTCGTTTTAAAATGTCAGCAGCAAAGAATAAGACATAATAAGAGATATAAGAAACTATGAAAAATATGAGTTTCATTAGTACACCGAAAGTTCTGCAGATACACGCTGTAATTTCACTGTGTATTTGACACCTCTCTCACATATCACATCCACCAGAAGACAACACAGCTCTGACATTTCTGGGTTTTGAGATCTTTTCTCACCTTGAGGATCCTGTCATAGCCATACTTCCCCACAAAGCCCAGGAAATAGACACCCCAGGAGTTCATCAGCTCATTGTAGGGCGTCCCTGTCACTCCACTGGCTGCCTTTGCAATACGGGGAATCACACTCTCGCTATACACCTGCAGATATGTAGGCATATGTAGACATTATCACTCAAAAACCTTTTCTTCTGACATCAGGACTGTGAAGCTGAAAACTAAACAGAGTGGCACATGTCCCTGTAAACACACATTATTATTCTACGCACAGAAACAGTATCACATTGTATTATTCATTTCAGGAGCACATTGTACCTGGTGGGTGACAAAGGAGTGCAGCCTGACATCTGCTCTCTCTCTGACCAGCTTCCACACATCATCTCCGTATGACTCCTTGATGAAGTCGTGAAGACTCTCGCACAGCAGCCCGTACATTATGTCTCCCTGGGTTGAGGCTCAAAGCGAGCACAGTGAAGACAGCTCTCCCAAACTGATTGACTTGCAGTGATCCTCCCAAAAGGCACCTGCAAGCAAATAAGAAAGGTTCAGACTGATGACTTCTTCAGGGCTGCAAGCTGAATTTGAATGCAGCGTTAAGCTATATGTTGAAAAAAAGCTGACTTCTCCTGCTCTCAACGTGACCTGGGAGGTTGGCGATCTTGCTCAGATTAGCCAGCCAAGTAAGGTTTCATCTGAAGGCAAGTGAAACAAATGGTTTTACAGGTGCCCTGATAACACAAGCCCTTGTGTCTGAATGGGCCTCCATTGTTCTGGTGTCAGCTGTCAGCGCCTGGTGGCCGTGCTCCTCTCTCTATGTGACATAAACACACTGCAGAAGCCACCTCTCAAACACAGATGACTCCGGCCGTGAGGATTTGTCCTTCTTCTCTTCTACACAATTATCAAACACTTGGTAGAATAACTCCTTTTATAATGAATTGTTATCAGATAAAAGAAATAACAGATTGATCCTTACAACTAAAAGCCAATGTTTTCTTTGTTAAAAGAAGGCTGCTAACTGAATGTGGTTTCTTTTTATGAAACAAAATAGCATTTTACCGACTAAACAAAGACACTTGAATAAACTCTTAAAGTGCAGCGACTACTCAGCTTTCACTGTGTGTGTGCAGATGATTTTCTGTGACTCAGGATGACTCCACATTTTGTGTCAGAGGCTGGGAGGCTTCCCACAGGGGGATAGTGACATTGTGGAGCAGGGCAGGTGCAAAATCGATATCCAATCTCAACAGGGATAAAGAAAATGTTTTCCCCCCCCTGGCTCCCGCTGAGCTCAATGAATCAATTTGTGGGGAAAAAGCTGCTCGATAAAGACTAAGTTGAGTTCCAAAAGGGCAACCAAATACTCGGTTAAAGGGCATCACTTCTGGTGTAACACACAAAAAAGAGTTCATGGAGAATAGCCAGTTTCAAAGCATTAATAAATGAACACAAAATAGTTGCCTTAAATTCAATCAAGCTGCACACACTCTGTATTATCAGGTGTTTTTTGAAATCCGATCACACGTGGACAGCTCTGAGTGCGCGTGTTTAAATTTAAAATTTGGCCCCTAACCCTGCGTCTCGTGATAGAATCCCAGATTGGATTTCACTTCCCCACCCTATATGCAAATAAATACATACATGATTTCCGCTCGCAAAGATGCAATGCATAGCTGTATAGGCAGCAAGTAGAAGAATCAAAACAACACACACAATGTGTTCAAAGCAGAGGAAACCTCCACATTCACGTTCACATTGCTAAAAGAATTAAATGGGTTCTTCTCTAACACATCACTCCGATGAGATTTGTGGTAATCCAACCATTAGTTTTTAATCTTACTTGCAATCAATCAAACAAACAGCTGGATGAAAACATAACCTCCTAGGCAGAGGTAAAAATATTGTACTGTCATTAAGTTCTTAAAAAACTGAGAGGTATGTTGAATGCTCGTAACTCATGGCTGTGCAAACCAAATGGACGTCAAGGGTCTCACCATCAAAAATGTTAGGGTTTATCCTTTGACCCCACACTGGAAAAAAGAACCACAAACTCTGATGCAGCAACCTCATCAATTTCACAGCTTCCCCTGTAAAACTGTCTGTGTGTGGGAAACTCATCGAGCGACTAATATATAGCACAGTGGTTACTGAGGCTTTCACGGGTGTAAAGAGAGAAAATAGAAATTGTGTTTATGTGGTTATGTTTGCCGTGGGGATTCTTGGCCTCTCATATTGCTGTCACTGTCTGGACAACAGCTGCTGTGATGCACACACACACGAAGAGGGGATCAGATTTTTATTTTCAAAGCGGCTCGAGGTCAGGATGTAAATCTTTATCCTTGCCCCTTCCCCTCAACAGGCCTTTCATACCATCACCACCCACCCACACCCACCGTCAAACACTCCCTCGATCCATCTTCACTCTCGTATCCCTCTGCTAAAATAAACTGGGTGAGATAAGCTCCAGAGGCATCTCTGGATGAGTTTTATACAAAGCGTCCTTGCTCTGCCGCAGAGTGTCAGAGTGGAGCGAGGAAGCATCCCAGCTCCAGTCCAGGATCAACCACACAACACAACCATCCAGAGGAACTCCCACCAACAGACAGACGGACAGGAGACACAGGTAAGGACTGAACCAGCTAAGGGTTGACTTCCAAATAAGCAGGGACAGAAGGAACTGAGGAGAGTTAAGTTTGGAAGTTGAGTGTTACATAGGTTTGGAAGCCATTGGGTTCTTTAAACAACTGTAATCAAGGAACACATAATATCAAATATTTCTGTGTTGAGAAGAAGCTTTGAAATCTAAACATGCTTGAGCTGTGGTGCAAGTAGAGTAATAATAAGAAATTACATGTTTGAGATTTAATCAGATTATGAGCCAATGCATTACTTCAACAAAACACTGTTACAGTCACACTCGCTTAACAAAATGGGGCTGGACTTGTGACTATAAGATATAATTTAGGACTTTATAATGTGCATAAACATATAAGATAATTTGATCCTATAAAGAACTGTAAATTCATAAAATCATACATTTCTGTGTTGCTGCAGAGGCAGCTTCAAAATGTAAATACTAATGTACTAGTAGTAAAATTATTAATGTATTAGGTATTCTAATTTTAGAGATTCAATCAAATTATGAGCAAATCCATTGCTTGAACAAATCACTGTCATAGTCACTTTGATTGAATTGATTTGCCCTTAGTAAGATTCATTATTTCTGACTAAAATATAATTTAGGATTTGTGATTAACAACATACAGAAACGTAGGAGTGTGTTTTTCTTTGGTTTGTCACTAAACTCTAATCTGACTAAAATAAACCAGCTTATACATAAAAGTAGTGTTATAACACAATATAAATAAATCCTTGTGTCTGTGTCCATTGTAGAAAAACAAGGACGATGATGATGCAGTCCAGCCAAAATGACTTGACTAAACAAAGGATGATGAATGCTAAGGCTCTGTCTAAAGAGGCCAAAGGAGGTGAGTGCACTGTGGAAGCATTGGTTGTGTTTTAGACCGTGTCACAACACTGGGAGATAGAACTGTCATACATGTACATAGTATGTGGAGGAAAAACCTAATTAGTTTACGTATTGCATCAACTACTGCCACAGTATGTGAACACAGCCGGGGGCCATCAGATGAAATTGAGCCAAACATCAAAGTGAAATCATGCACCGCCTGGGGACAAGTGGAGCGCGGTACACCCGAATCCCAGGAGAGCCAGTATGTTGTTAAAATTCTCCAGACGTTTCAGCAGGGAGCATCCCAGTTGCTCTGTGTGTTTTTCCTGCTCTGTCCCCTGCACTCAGAAAAATGCAGCTACTCAAGGGTGGCATATGTCCAGACTCCTAATTCTTATAATGTGCAAGGAAGAGGGGCCATCCACTCTTACATTAGTCTTTCATCCAAAGATGCTATTTATATGCCCAGTTACCCATGCAACCTTGGACCACAACAAACATTACACACCTCTTGACATCATCTTGAGGCTATTTCAGACCCTCCTCTGTGACATGATATAACACGAGAAGAGACCCTCAGCAAAAGCTGTGGATACCAACTGAGTGATGCTGTGACGCGGCTCGACTTTTTAACATCAGCCCCCCAGCAGCTGTTGAAAGTTGACAGAATAAGGAAGATCCAAGGAGACATCATGATTTGCCAACAGCCCCTATTAGTCTGCGTTACTTTCCTTCTTCTGCCGTCATTGCTCTTGCGCTAGAACAACTAACGTCATGATGTATTTCAAGGTTGGAGTCATCTGATGCCACGCTACACGGCACAGAAACCCGGGGCAAACTTCTTCACTCTGATGCGGCCATCTTAAAAATGCACAAGGACATTAAATGCATTCACTTATTAAAATGCCTCCATTTGTCTGTCATGTTGTGCAAGGGGGACTGAACCTGGGGAAGAAGATCAGCATTCCAAAGGACGTGATGATGGAGGAGCTGAATCTTCCCTCCAATCGAGGCTCGCGCATGTTTCAGGAGAGACAGAAGCGAGTGGAGAGGTTCACCCTAGAGAACTCCGACAACATGGCTTACAACACCAATAATGTAAGGAAATGACAGACGGCACAGAACACATGAAGACACATCCATTAACCTAAGTGTGCTCTACTTGAACTTCTGAACCTGTGTTTCAATCAGAGTGAATGCATTTAAACAGCTTCTTGCTGTGCTGGGTGTATCTACACTATAATTAATAATCAAGGAAGTTTGACTCCTCCTTTTTGCAGTCTCATTTCTTTGGAGTACGGAAACAGAGTTTTAACATCTGCTAGCCATTAAGTGAAAATAAACAAATGAGCAACATTTTAAAAAGACATACATTTAAACAGACAGGGGCATCCATCCCAAACACATGTTAAGGAGCACTGGCAATTCATAAATGTATGTAAGTACATTTGGAAAAGGCTATGACAACAATGAAACAGCTGAGAGTTTGAGATATCCTGATATTTAGTTTGGAAAAGGTTGTATTTTACACGTCTCAGAATGCACTACAATATCTTTTACAGCGGTTGTGTCAGAATATAAGTTCAGGTGGCAATACATTTTCCAACTGGGGATTCAGATGTTCCAATACAGGAGGTCACAGAGTAATGCAAAGTTGGATACCTGGTCTTCTAACTTTCAACTTCTTTCAAACTCACTTGAGCTCAAGCTGAGATTTGTCCAAACAATGGAAAGCGTGAAAGAAGGCAGTCCTCCTGACATATAAACATAATCTGATGTTTAGTCCCCTTTAACAAAAACTGTCTTACAGTATATTTGAAGTAAATAACTTCACAGAAATCAAACTTCGCCCCCCTCAGGTCCATCTCGATGCCACTCAAATCATCTCAGAGCCTCAAGGAGGGAAAGAAAACCAGGCTTTCTCCATCCCTGGTAAGCACAGCCTGGTCCTGAACCTACAGAAGACTGTAGCAAAGAAGGGCAGTCCTGACGTCATTGCTCCAGGTACATGGTTGTACATGATGTACATGTATGATGAGGGGATAGCCACCGACTAGTTCCCCGCCAATGCTAGACAAAGCCAGCACTTGAGCAATGCATCTCACTTTGATTGGCTACTGGTTTTGCTTTTAAATGGAAATGTTTTGAGCAAATAAATAGATTGTAATTATTATTGCCAGTGCTCGGAGTGTTGGCAGTTTGTACAGAGCTATTATCTGTGAGCATCTTTGCTGAGAGCTGTTGTGTATTTGCTCTTACATAAGGTGCCGCTTACAGTCTGACTGACAGTGAGACGCTGAGCTCTTTTTATTATCAGGGATTCACACTGAGATCCAATTACTGTACTTCCTATTGTTGTAGACAGTAGTGACACAAAGGATATTTGATATGTAAATTAAATCTGGTGTGTGTTTATTTATTTCAGTATCTAGTAGGTTTTGTAATTAAATTAAAAAACACAGGGATGATCATTTTTTCTCGACAAAGGAGACCTTACTTTAGTTTGCTTTGAATTTAATAGAGTAACACAGCTTTCACTTTAACAATAGTGTTGTGTCCTTTATGCTCACTGACATGAGATTTTTATTTGTGTCAGGTTATACTGGCCCCCTGAAGGAAATCCCTCATGAGAAGTTCAACACAACAGTGATCCCCAAATCCTACTCCTCCCCATGGACGGAAGCTTTGGGAACCAATGAAGAGCTCCTGAACGCCCTCAATACCCAGCTGCCCCAGCTCCCACAAGGGCGCCAGCCCGCCAACTACAGGAGCTTCAACAGGTAAACGTTGTCTGCCTCACTGCCCAGTTCATCCAAATAAATCATAAACCGCTCAATCCTGTTCAGTGGGAAGCACCCGTCTTCAAATAGACCCACAGATGACCTCACCGTGTCATCCATCACCATCATCCCTCTCCCTCGGCTCCACTCCATGTTTCCACAGTTTGAAAATTAATCCAGTCTCTGGCTCGCACCTCCTTGAATTGTGGCTATGCGATGGCTATTTTGAACTCTGGCTCTTGAAAGATGATCCACTCAAGGCTGGGAGCTTTTAATGTCCCCAGAAGACTGATTGTGGAGGAAAGGGAATCACCTTTCTCATGGCACACAAGGAATTGCATCACATCAGCGAGGCAGAAAAAAGGTTAGGCTTGGGCAGAGGAAGAAATGGACAATGTATGAAAGACAAGTTCAGACTGTGGTCATTTAGGCTGTCAATCAACGAAGTTTGTGGGATTTAGGATTATCGTGAAATTGTGAAGCTTTAATTAAACCTGAACACAACAAATGGTCAAATTAGCTGTGGCTCAGAAGGCAGAGCCTTTCAACACAGAGCCTCTGGAAATTATATATCTCCCAAAAGCATCCCTAATGCTGGTTGACAATATTAAATTCAGATTTGCATTAAATAGCGGCTCACCCACTTTCAGTATAATTACTGAAACCAACATGTCCTACCCATTCCCTTTTTAATTTGTTAATTTCAAAGAGAGGAGTCTCTGGCAAAAATAAGTCATTAGATTTTTTAAGTACTTTTGAAAAACAGTTTCTTCTTTTAATAATTTTTTTGAATCCCTCTAATAGAATAATAAACTTGTGTCAAAGCACATTGACAATTGAGCTTGAGAAGTAAAAAAATGAAAAAGCCAAACAATGGGGAACAATTTAAGTAAATTTGAACTGAAATAAGATTAGCCGAACAAAAAATAAAAATATGACAAAAGTAGTAGGATCAGAGCTAGAAATCACAACTATAGAATGTGTCTTTAAAAAGAGGAAAAGGACTTCAGTGGGTCAGATATAAAATTCCATGTCATGTTAATAACAAGTTTATTAACATTACATATTGTGAAATAGCCTCTGGACATCACCAAAAACTCTATCCCGAAAGAAAACTACACAAAGATGCGGAATATCTCCCTTTCCCTGTCATATATTTCCAGTAACGTGACACACCGAGTCTGCTTGGTAAGAGCCTTTCATTGTTTTTCAGATCTGCCATGCCATTTGGGGGTGCTATGGCCAGCAAGAGGGTGACACCGCTCATTGACTTCGAGGCAATCGAATCTCAGAACCTGCCTGGCGTCGCCCTGGACCGCATGTGCAGAAGACCCAACTTCAACAGAGCACCCAGGGGATGGGGAGTCTATTACAACCCTGAGTCTAACGAACTATGAAGGACTGATAAGAGAAAGACTATAAAGCGCTGATCTATGCTTGCACTTCTCCTACGGCAAAAATGATCCTCCTGTTAAATAGTGGGCACTATAGGTGGTGGTGGGGTGAGCACTGTGAGGACTGCTATGCTGCTATAGTAATGTGTCGCTGCTGAGTGGATTGACCAGCTGAGAAAATATCTGGATTCTAGAATCTGTTAATTACCACAGTAGAGTCCAGGACAATACTGCCACAGGCTTTTCAGTCTGACCTATTTCTATTCTTCACCAAAGACTCATATCTTCCCACAAATGGCTTTACTTTTTTCTCCACCACCCACACAACACAAAACATAAATGATGAATTATACACACTATGAAATGATTCATGACAAAATTTGAGTCCTTTTAATGAGTGAAAACACCATACAAAGAAAGCCCAACAATAACAAAGACAGATAAAAAAAGTCAATGTAACTGGAAAATTAAAGTTTTTAAAATGTTCCTAATGTGATGCTTTAAACAAGGAGACAAATACATGTTTTACCTAATGTGTTTATTTTTCATATGTACAACAGCTCTGATCACATCAGTCCTTTAAAAACGTGGATCACATTGGTCAGAACTCTTATGTTTGAAAGCACCTGAAACAGGTTAACTGGAGAAAAAGAATGAAACCTAATGACAGTATGATTTCACTGCAAGCTAATCTCCATGGCGTGAGCCATGTGCTGCATGGGCACCCATGCGCTGAGGATCTTGGGAGGGGTAGTGAATTTGACCGGGAGGTCTCATGCTCATTGGAGGGGGCATAGGTGGAGCCATGTGACCCATGGGGTGAAACATTGGAGGCCCGAAACCTAAATGAGCAGATGAAAAAAAAATTGGAATACAGCATTAGGTATTTACCTTTTCTCACTGTTTCTATAATTTACTTATAATTAATAATAGCTGATGATCACAAAACTAAATACCAGTATAAAATGAATGAGATTACCTAAATACTTATTTCATATTTGATATAAATCGTATCTTGCTATAGACGTGATGTAAGCTGCATTTGTGAGATCAAGGTTATAATATTACCTGGGGGAGGTGGGTTTATTCCTGGCGGTGGGGGCAGAGCTATGTTCATGACAGCAGGAGAAGTGCTCGGGTCCAGGTTGAAGTAATTTGCAGGGGCCTCTTCATCCAAAGCTGGCGGTGGAGGAAGAGCTACAGCACAGTAAGAAGACAAAGAATGAGTAAAGACAAACAATAAAATATGTTTCAATAGAAGTATTTATGTACATCAGGATTAAAATTCAGAACATCATATGGCTATGTAATTATATTACGTCAACTTATTTAAGCTATCACTGTGTTTACAGACTCACCTCCAGGCAGTCCAGGTACAGGATCAAGTCTGGTGCCCATCTCACTCACACCATCTTTGATACCCTCCTTTCCTCTTGCTGCCTGAGACCTTAAATACACACAAACCATACAAGTTGTAAATATTCATCACACCACTCTGTTAAATAGCTCAGCAGAAATGTGCCAAAAGCAGAAAATGAAAAGTGTGCCACTCTGTTGCTCTAAATCTTTGTTGTTGTAAAAACCTTACAGTGTGTATAAAAATACTGATCTCAGTTTCTAAGTTGTGACTGTGATGATAATTAATTAGTAATTTCAAAACACGCACCCTCTGAGTACTACCTGGTGTTAATGAGCAAATTATCACTTTAAACCTTCACTTCACCTCTCAAGTAGCTCTGCTTAGTGAAGCGTATGTAAGCTAATATATGTAACCAGATGGCAGAGGAGTTGTTTTGGTTGGGAATCCCATTCTCCGGGATTTACCATTCTGGATTTGTGTCCAGAAAATACATGAGCTTCTGATAATGGATTCTGTGTCCGGTCAGAGATAGAAACAGCAAAGCTTAAATTCACCATCTCAATCAACCTCTTACCTTCCCCATTTGACAGTGAGCCTTCGTCCATTAATGATCAGTTTGTTAAAGGACTTCTCTGCAGCCGTTTCAGCAGACTGTCGTGTGGCAAACTGGATGAAGGCACATTGCTGCCTCTGGACGATGGTAATGGTACGAATCTCACCAAACTGGTAAAAGTGACTCCTGTAATGATATAGAAAAACGTCAAATAGCACCATAACACTGGATATTAAGGTTTAAAATTGTAACAACAGTGATTGCATTGTCTACAGTCTATCTATAAAAAAAGTTAAACTTGCTCTTTGTGGACATACACAAAGTTGTGTAAGAGTCTGTTATGAGGTGCTTACTTGAGGTCTCCATCTGTGACAGTATCTCCCAAACCCCCAATGTAGAGGGTGGAGATTGACTTGTCGTCAGGTGGGTCAAGTCGTGGCATGGTTGAGGCCCTTTTCAGCAGCTTGTCTGCTACAGGGTCATTGATACCGTAGTAACGGTCTTTTATGTTCTGGTCAGCCAGAGGGTCATCAGGATCTGTGGGCTTCTCATGCCTTTGTGAAAAAAAAGGAGAATATAACAGCGGAACAACCGAAACTTATTAGGAAGTTACAGCCAAACTGAGCCATTAGAACAAATCAACCCATTTGCCTAGTAGTAGCGAGTACTCAGAAAAATGTAAAATTCAATTCATATTATCAATATAAGAAACAATCGGTTCCAGAATTCACAATTAATCTCACAGTTTCAAATTCTCCCCTAATTCACAGCATCTGTAGCCTGTTTCATTAAGTGTCAACTCACCTATAGGGACACTCCTCCCCTCTCTTACACTCTCCCTTCACCCAGAAGGAGCAGATGTGTGGCCGGTTCCTCTTGTAATATGGTGTCGTGCGGGCCAGTTTCAGCAACATATCACTGGAGCTGCTAGCCTTACCTAGCTGGCCCACCGGCCGTGTGCCATCAGAATTAGCTATCTGGGAACACAAATGTCCAAATATGAGATCAATGACAGATTTAAGTTAAGGGTGTCCTTAATTTAGCAAACATTTTTAGGTGAGACAAAACTCTTGGTGCCATTTGGCAAGCGTAAAAAAACAACTTTACCTCTCTCTCCATGTTCTGAGTGTAGTACTCTTTGTTCACATCTGACTTAGGAACCTCATCCTTAACAGAAAGCCCAGTGTCTCGGACCTGGATAGGCAAACCTGTGCAACACAAAGTGTTAGGGTTTAAGATCACATAGATATGTGCTTCAACAAACCATAGTTGAACGCAGACCATATTACATTTACAGATTAAAATTAGTCACTTCCACAGACTCACCATATTCCAGGTCGAGCAGACATGTCTGACAAACATTCTTCATTTTGCTACAGGTCTGACAGACCTCTGTCTTCTTAAAACGCATCCTTGTCCCTGGACACCATCGAAACACAGTGAAGGGTCGAGCACAGATCTGAAGTGCAAAGACAGAAAATGTATAAATATTCTTACATGCAACAGTGTAATGTTAAGAACATGTGATTTGTGCTGCATAATCATGATTTGAAATATGAATACAAAAGATACCTTGCATTCTTTCCCATACTTCTCCTTAGTCTGTAATACAAAGCACAAATTCATTTTACACCCCAATGAATTTACCTCCACTTCATTGCAATGACAAAGTAATGCTCACTCACCATACGGATGTAAGGATTTTCTCCTAAACATGTCTGACACAGAATTGGAAAATCCTGAAGGACAAAGAAAAAGTAGATGTTAATTTATTTAAAAAAGTTCCACATCAGTTACAAACCCAACATGTTTGTGAAGCAGTAACTTGGCCTAATTCTGGGTTTCAATTTCTTCTGTGGGCATCTTAGTGAAGATGCATGTGTGGCATGACTTGCTCACTCTGACTTTGCCATCTGTTGAAGGATGCTGTTTCACTCTGAGTGCTAACTGCAGAAAATGACCTTGTGTTAATCCGACCCACTGATGGCATCAGCCAAACACCTAAATATAAGCAGCTCTTATGGCACAAACGTCATCTTCATTGTCTAAGGTTGCAACGGTTTATATTCTGATGTCTTGATAAAACCAACATTGGTCACAGGCCAAGTTGGGTCGAGTCTCAGGAGAGAGAAAAATCATTTGATGCCTTATATAGTAGGGTTGGTGGACATTTAAGTGGTCGGTGCAAGAATATAGGTACTTCAAGCACAATCAGTGCAGTGAAAAGCAAGATCTGGTGGTCGTGTCACATCCTCAACTTAGCTCAAACTCTTGATTACAAGAATGCTGCTCTTGACACAGACCACAATTCTGCGATATTTCCGTTAATCTAAGAGCCACGTTCGGATATGTTCTCGTCAGATAAGCGGGTCTTCTCATCATAACGGCTGGTAGATAGATAGATGTACTATATTGATCCCAATTTGCCTACGTTTTATTGTTGTTAGCCTGCTAATGCTAGGCTACTTCAGTCCAGTTAGCTATAGCAGCTAACTGTAGCTTAATGCGCGTTTACATTCCAGTGACCGATAGTTAATTCTGAGCCCAATCAAGTGACACAGTACAACATATGTAGCTCAGTGTAGCTGGTTTCCGATGAAACTGTGGTTTATACTTTTAATTATGGTTAGCGCCGAGGCTAACACCGACATGCTAATAACGCGATAGCCACGCTTCGGCTACTAGCTCAATGGGGAGCTAACAAGCTACCGGGCAAATCCACCGTGTTTGTGGTGAGCGGCTCGGCTTTACGAACACGTTCATTTCTAAAACATAGCGAGACCAATGTTGTGTTTCAGTCGCACTCCCTGTTGTGAACACCGTGATGTCGATTAAACGTACCGCGTCTTCCCAGTTCTGTCTGTTGTAGGTGTTGGATCCCAGGGACGTCGCCATTTTACAGAATGTGAGCCAACAGGGCCAGTGTCCGGACCACAATGCACCGCGGCAGAGAGCAACGCTTCACCTTAAGGTGTCGCCCTGTTTCAAGATGATGCTCAGTGCGATCTCTTCAGTCAGACAAATACTAACTGGGGCTGCGAGCAGCTCTGTGCGGGCCCGAGCACTTGTGATCTCCGGACCTGATGCGGCCGCGTGGGAGGGTGCACAGGGACCGGGCGGAACGGCTGCGTGTTGCGTGCGTTTTGCGCATTACGGGAAGTTTAAACGCGTCACTTCCTTCGTCCGTCACGCTGCGCAGGACCATGGCCACTAAATTCGCATGACGATCCACGACATCAGGTGCAGGCCACACGGAGGAAATCTAATGTAAATCGAATTAAGGTTGTAAAACGAGGCTTACCTCCTTTTGGCATTAGGTGGTGCTGTCACCTATATAGATCTGTTCAGTTCAAAAACACTGTTCGGATCATTTAAATCTTTCACCTTTGCAACAGTCTAGACATCATCAGGAATCTGTGACCACTGACACTGACATTAAAGCAAACTGACAGCAAGGAAGGATTTGCATAATTAATCATTTGAAGTGTTGTTTTATATAAAGCCTGGATGGAGTTAAATAGTAAGTCACCGTCATCTTAACCATTTAACATGGGTTAAGTGACCCAGCTCAGTCTTTATTTTCTATATCTTTGCAGTGAATGAATTTCATCATTCAGTGTTTAAGATATTTCCTATTAACTTGTTTTTGATCAATGCTCAGTGGGATTACAACAATTTTATTTTCACCCTGATCAGTAGGTGGCACCATGACCCTGAGTTAATTTTGACATATGGAGCGGTTCAGGCCGGAACTCTGATCTTAGGTGAGTATTTTGGGGCTGATTGGACAATGCACAGTAGAGTCACAACATGTGATGTACAGTAGAACTTTTAATAACTTTGAATCTCCATGGAGTTGAGATGACACTCAACTGGACATGACACAACAATTTAAACTTTATCTGATGAAAGCTCTATGAGAAGTTTGTCAAAATAAGTGTGTAATGTAAATATGTGTAAATGGTCAAAATGGCCACTTAATTCAAAATGGTCAACTCCACAGTGACATGTGACATTGGACGCCACGCCACCAACACAGTGTTTGACGAAAACTCACAGTTTCCATATGGCTTTAAATTTGAGTTAGTTTTGATTTCCATCTTGTTAAGATGACACTCACCAAATTTAAAGTTGATCTGATGAAAGCTCTAGGAGGAGTTCGTTAAAATACACAATGTGTAAAAACGGCCAAAATGGCCGCAAAATCCAAAATGGCCAAGTTCTTATTGGGTTAATCAAATTGATGCCAGGGACTTTTTTTGTTCCGGTCATGATACACCAAAATTCGTGAAGATCGGTTAATCCAGATGGAATTACTGTGTTTTAGGGGGCGCTGTTGAGCTATTTCGCCACACCCATTTAAAATTACTCCAGTACATTTTCATCAGGCCTGACACACCTGCAAAATTTGGTGAGTTTTTGAGTATGTTCAAACCATCATAAATGTGATTAATTTTCCTGAATAATCAACTCAGTTATCAATATTAAAATAATGGACAATCTGGTCAAAAATTATATCACAACAAACGTTTCAGTGATGGTGTATATTAATCGTAATTATAATTATCACATTATTATTTCTTCTGAGTTTAAAGACTGATTTTTGAGTGGTTTTAAAATCCTTAAAATTTTACAAATCTGAGGTAGATCAATTATGTGTTATACCTCCTCACTGTGCACAATGTAAAAGCGATATATTGATAAATATTGAAAATCTTTTATTTTGCTATTGATGAAAATTGCAATGAGATAATTATTCATTCATTTTATTGCCCTGCCCTAATTTTATACAGTAAGCTGTTAAGAGGAGTTCTGCATATAGAGTTTTACATTATTACTACATGTATGTTTGACCCAGCTGAATTCAAAATAAAATTTTAATTCAACATGTAACAAAGCAGCCTACTAATCTGTGGTGGTGCAACTACTACTAGACTGACTGATGGGCTGGTGTGTATGAGTCCGTGTAAGCCAATTGTGTGGTCCACTTACAGTTTATCTACCCACCTGTTCCAAATCAGGTCAGGGTGTCTTTACTGTGTGAAACTCCAATTAGCAGAGCGACGGATCTTTGAGATTACGGATGGGCATTGAGCCTCTAATGTTTATTTAAGGTCAGGCCAAGGTTGTGGAGTCAAAAGACAGGGATCAGATGCAGGCCTGAAGAGCTGGCAACTCTTTTATACTGCAGCTGCCATCCAAGAGGTCATAATGGAAAGTCTACTGTGAATAGCATCATATGTAAATGAAAAGAAACATCACTATTCTCCTCTGTTGCTTTTGATGTCTGATTCAGATGCAGTGATTTCAAGCTATAATCAGCTGCATCATGATCATCAGCTCACATGCGCATTGATCAACAGTTGCTTCTGTGATCATATTTCCTGAACTAAAGGTTGAACTTGAATGTCCTCCTTCAATTTCTCTAGTCTGCGTTTTGCCCTGTGTTTCCTGGGACACTAAAGTAAACTTTGTGGGCATCGCCTCCTTTGTCTTAATGAGTCGTGTGACCCTGTCTCCTCTATCATGTGATGCGGATGAGACAGCCAAAGCTGTTTTAAAGGACGGCTTTGTCTTGGATTTAGCCGCTCCATAATCAAAATCACCAACGTCATGAGTTACAGGGTCAGGGGACATGGAGGTGTCCCACTACATTGTAGCTGCACCATGTTTTAGACCTCAGTCAAAACAAACTGGCGTCAAGGGTTGTGATGTTTACACCAGAAACTCACCATAGTTTACATAGGTTACACAACATTTCTCATTCATCAATACTCTGTCACTATATAACTATGTTTGTTGTTCGTTTTTTGTGGCAATAATAATCATCATAAATATTGTTATATTTTGACATATTCAATATTGTGTATTAACCTCTAAAGATGATTAAAATATTCAGTAAAACTGTATCAGAGGAAAATTTAATTTCTCCGGAGGAAAAGTAGCAGTCCGTGAGTATTATAAGACCACAATTATAGAATACAAAGAGATATAACATTTCCTAAGGGAATATTAGGGTGATTTTGATATTAGACAATGTGTCCACAACTGGTTAAAGCCTACAAATAGTCCAGAGAGATAGATAAATATTGAGAGAGATAGATAGATAGATAAATAGATAGATATTTTATTGATCCCAAGGGAAATTTAGGCATCCAGCAGCACATAAAACAGTCAAACACAAGGGCATAAGAATAATAAAAGGTCAATATGAGTCACTGTAAAGAAATGTGTGCTAATATGATACTGACAATACACTCTAAGTATAAGGTGATTGAAAGACACAAGTAACTGTACTGAAAGATAAATAAGTGAAGCTATACAATGTTTTGCATTAGATTAACATAGTGTGTAAACTTATGGAACAGCAGATGTAAGTGTATTTGAANATGTATTGATTTACGTAAAATGTCACAGCCTTAAAATCTGCATTATACACACCTGAAGAAAACATTTACAAGTTAATTCAAAGTCATCCAAGATTATTTTTCCAGTTGGTGATTATGGCAATCAGACTGTAAATTGGCTTTGGAGCCGAGCTGGTGATAAAACATCGGGTCTGAGACACAGGTCCAAAGATACACACAAATACACACACACGACTAAGGGCACACAAATCCAGGCCTGACATGTAATAGCTTTTAAGCACAGTGAGGCATCCAGTTGCATCACCAGCAGCAATGTGAATGGATGGGCACTATCATTAGACACAAACACACCATGGTAGGCAGGTATGAATAGATGGTCCGTCTCTGACTGGAGAGATTGGTTCCATCTGAAGTGGAAAAGGTTGTGGGGTCACATCCCTCCTATTACCTCTCTTTCTGTGCGATGACACTTTATTCACGTGAAAGGAGCTCTGCAATGGATGGAGCTAATCCCAGCCACGGAGAAAGATAGATACAGTATATAGATGGATGGATGGATGGATGGACAGACAGATGGACATAATTTATTAACTTTAAAGGGATCCTTTGTTTGGTGATTATACATACAGTGAAATGTATTTGTATAGCATTCTTCAAACAAACAATGTAATGTTAACAGCTTTATAGAATAAAAACAATAAAAGATAATACCCACCCTGATCCACATACAGAGCAAAGGAATAATAGCAGGGACTGAGGAAAGAGTAGGGAAAATCTCTGTAATTTGCAATGAGGAAACACCAAAGGCTGATAACGATAATACAATAAAGATAAACAAAAATGTGACAACAACATTTTGGAAGGGATCAAACTGTGCAGTCTGTGTGATGTGGTGAGTTGCTGTTCCTATAAGAGACAGGAATAATAAACTTTCTCTGTAATCACAGCACAATTGAATTCTGCATGTACAGAAATAACTCGCAAGGTAAACTGATAAGCTTCAGAGCATTAAAACCCTGCACAGACCCACCACACGTTTCTTTGTGGAGTTGTGTGTGTGGTGCGCGCTCGCATGTGTGCGCGTATCAGTCATAAATGCGCTGTGCTGGCGCCTCCTGTCGACAGTTATGGGCCACTGCCGGTGCCAGGAGCTGCAGAAAGAGAGGGGCACTCTCAGATTTCCCTGCTTCTCCCAGTCGACTCCGCTGCGCCGCTTCCACATCACGGCCGACAGCGAACCGAGACGACGACATGCGCTCGGTGAGCTCCAGCCCCGCGTCCTGCACAAGCGGCCCGCGTTGTCCCGAACACTCCTCGGCCCGGACAAGGTGAGTTACACCGAACACAACACGAGTGTGGTCCGCTTGGTTTTTTTCCCCCCAAGCAACGCTCGATACACGACCCAACACCGAGAGCCCCGCCGCTCGCTCGCTCTCCCAGGCCCGGCTAGTGAGCGCTGTCTAGCGCAGACGAAAGAGGCCAGTTTCTCGGCCTGACTCTGCCCCTGGCTGGAAGCATAAAGCCCAGACGGTGTGTGGCGGAGGCTCGCTGCGGCTCCCGGCTCCATTAAGGCAGCACGGAGGGAGAGGTAGAGGGGGCTAGCGTTATCATGTCGAAGTTTGTACCCAGGATAGAGCCATGTCCGGCGGCTCGGCTCTGTGGGTTAATATCTGAATTCCTTGATCCGGCCGGATCCCGTGTAGCAGCCCCGGTACCAGGGACTAACTTGTTTGTGTAACTTCGGAGCAGCGGCTGCTATGTGGAGAAATCCTCGCCTCAAGTTAGCTTCGACTATTCT